GCTACTAGGGGCTCCTGGCCTTACTACTAGGAACAAGAAGCTACTAGTAACAAGGAATATGATAGGGCCTTTGTAACGAAAGCCAGGAACTCCGACTGCGTTGATTCCTTCACCGGTCAGGCGATTCCAGCGAGGCCAACGAGCGCTCCGCATCCTCGAGCAGTCGAGGAGTGGCAGTGGAGTAGTGGAGCCATGAAAGGGGGGGAGCCGTAAGCATTCCTTGTTGCTAGTAGCTTCTTGTTCCTAGTAGTAAGGCCAGGAGCCCCTAGTAGCGTCCTTGCTCCTAATAGCGATGCCCTTTGCTCCTAGTAGCGTCCTTGCTGCTACCCAAAAAGATAGAATCTATAGACAAGATACGGCCAGGACCTTCCCAGTGATCTCTTCAGGATTAGCAAGTGACCTTTTCAAGGCCTAAGTGACCTCATTGATCTCAAAAGGTCACTGGGAAGGTCCTGTTGTGTGCTTGTTCACTTGTTTAGTCATATGATGACCAAGCGCACAGATCATTCTAGACCCTGCTCTCATTTGTGCTTGCAAGCTGAAAATCGCCAGGGGTTTGGCCCGGCGAGCACATGGCTGCCTTGTAGTGAACACCCAATTGGGCGGAAGAACACAGAGACCAAGCCATCCCCATCCGAACTCGACGCGGCCATCTCTATCTTTGGAGCGGCCATCGCAAGAGTCTTGGACATTTGAACCAAGAGTTCTGAAGGAGGTACTGCTCGGTTCATCTTCATCGCAAAGGTTTGCACCCCGACTCAGAAACATGGAAGTCAATATATGAGACCCTCCGTATATGGAATAGTTATACGTGAACCCCATTTATGACCCTAATGCAAGTAACTATTCCATACATGGATGGCTTGGGCATGGTTTTCTGGCTTTGCACTTGAACCATTCCCAGGTACAGCTATATAATTATATGCTTACGCTGGTTCATTCAACTAGAGATGGGTGGCCAATGGGTGGCCAATGGGTGCACGGTGTGCCTGCTGAGCTTAGTGGATTCTTTGCTTAGCCTGTTTGGTCATGCGAACTGGACGGATCCAACGACAACCTGAGCAGTACCTGCAAATATACCGCTTCCAAGGTCTCTTGAGGAGGATTTGGTGTGTTTCAGTACCATGGGTGGTGACCTGTTGTGGGCGTTACAGTGGAGTCTGAATGATGATGCCATTCCTCCATGCACTTTCCATGTTTGCCGGCTGTTTAGGTGATCCTTAGACGAAAAGTTTGTGTCCAATGGACCCAAGAACACAGATCCGCAATGGGTTCCGCCATCAACCTTCTCAGTCAGTAACTTCTGAAACCTCAAACAACCTTGTTCCCATCATCGCAAATACTACTGGTGTCAGACCCCATGGTCAGTGCTCAGATCTCTTACTCCTCCACTGCAGGAGAAGAGCTTAGCTGCGCTGAACGCGAGGCATGGCAATGATGAGCTCTTAATCAACTATCGGGGCAGTTCAGGAGTACTTGTGAGTCTTTTTATATCTTTTGATGTAGCCCATGACCTAAATTGTAAAGGCATGTGCGGGTGAACATCTCCGGAAAACCATGCTATATATCGGAATGTGTACATAACCCAGCAGCTAAAAAGCGTAGACAATGGCCACGCACTGACACCCTCACACACACACACACATCACACACACACACACACCACACGAGCTTGACTTGAAGCAAAGCCAGCTTTGCAGCAGACCATTGCAGCTGGACTGTGCAGAGCGCTCACGTAGGGGTCAACTCTGAAAGAGAAGACCAGAGATTGCTCGGGCTCATTGGATCCATCTGAAACACCGTCTTCGTTGGGAGTTGGAGTGATGTCCGTACGACCGGGCATAGAGGGTGTTGTCTATCAGGTAATTACCATAGACCTATTGATGGTTCACGACCGGGCATGTATCCCATCTATTGATCATCCAACCATATCCAACCAATGGTTGGAAGCCCCCACACTTGTGGTGACTGGTCTCCCCAGAGCAGCCTGGCGGTGGGCTGCGAAGACTGGGGCTGGCTGAGGCCAGAAAGCAACCGGTGGCCGCATCCACTTACTTAGTGAGTCAAGTGGCTATAATTGTTGTAAGAAGCCTTCGGCAAGATACTGATACGTAAAAAAACACATGTTGGTTTGTAATTATCTCCTTTGAGGTTCTTGGCACTCTTGGCGATCTTGTTCACCCAAGCAGATGTCAGTCTCCTCAAGTCACTGAGTAAGTGGCTGCTCGGACCAGCCCAAACCGTGCGGACCGACGCGCGTTTCGCATCAAAAGCACGCGCCGAGCACGTCAAAGCACAGTGAGAAGTGGAGATACCCATGTCATGCTTTGACCTTCAGTTATGTAGTCCCTTGATTAATCAACCCCCCCTCCCCCCCTCAACAAGTGGAGACCCTAGAATAATATGATAGAAAACCACGTTTTGCGGGGAACTCATGTTAACACGAGGGCCTCTAGGCTCTCAGTTGCTGGGAGCCCCAAGTGGTGATTCACAAACCGCCGCTCCAACTGCCGCTGGGCTCAGATCCATGATCTAAGACGGTCGACCCCGGTCACACCTCGCGGAGGGACCGTGGCGACCGGGGGGGGGGATAGCGAACGAGAAACTGCCGCTGGGCGATGAGGGACGAAGGACGGTGAACAGGTTTTGGGGGCTTCCCTACAGGTGTAAGTGGACACATTGTCCAAGAAATCTGGATAGTGTCAGCTGAAGATGTCCTCCAAAGTGATCGACATGGATGACTGAGGAGGCACTTTTGCTTTGTTGAAAATATCTCATTGAGAAGTAAACATCCCCAAACAGAATACGTTGGAATCTCGTTTGAAGCGGCCCTTCGCTGTTTAATGCTTTCTATTTCTGTTTGTTTGCTTTTCCCAACAGGCTAAATGTGAAGTTTTGTCATGTCAAATGGTGCCCACATCGAGTTGTGTTTATTTTCGGAGAGTCTCTGATCAAACCCCGACAAAACCATGTCTTTTACAGGGGAGTCTGATTCAAACATGTTTAACCAAAGGTTTAAACATCTTGAAATCACCATCTACAAGGTTATTCAATGCTTCAATAATTGAACAAAACAAGTCGGACTGCAATGATGCAAAGACAGATGGGCGAAACAAAGGCCTCTTTTGGCCGGCGCTTCTGATGACGTGTAGAATTCTGGAGCGGCCTCGAGACACATTGGCAAAACCTCTTGACCTGACCTAGCTCTCTTCTGAAGTCTATGAGACTCTGATTCCAAGCAATAGGGATGGGTTAAGACCTGGAGCCTCGGTGCACGATGTAGCGAAGCACCTTCCAGGTATATAATTCGGTCAACCGGTCGGTCTCCAGGTTCAACCCACAGCCAGGTAGGGGTTGGAAGCGTGACCCTGGGCTTTTGGTTCGTGTTGAACTTTGTGATCCATCGAATTTCCGATGAGATCAGATGTCAACGGATGTCAAAGACCGTTACTTGTCTCAGGTGGACAAAAAGACGTTTGGAGCCTTCTTGAGCGGGGCATTCTGATCAGCTGCCATACATCCCTCCACATTGGGGTCATCTAACAAGCATTCTTGACGTCACTGTCACTGTGGACATTGCTAGACAATTAGTTTGCAGCTCAAAACCTAACCTCAAATTATGGCACATTCCTGGTCCAGAAGTCTTGGTTGCTGGACCCAAAGCCAACCCTGATGAGATGCTTGTCACCCCACTAACTGCTGCAAAGCAGTGTCCGAGGAAATCCTTATGTCGAAAGACGTCGAGGTAGGCACTGTGACCTTTGGTCGCGGCGAACAGCAGCAACTGAAAAGGGTGTTTGGGAGTAGGTGTCAAGGAAGATCCCTCTTTCAACCTGTGTTGTTTTGCATGTTGTTGGAAGTGAGTGCGGGTTCGCTCTGGAAAGCCTCCTGGAGCCAGACTGGAGCCGGTGAACACTTCTTTCAAGGTGAAACACCCCGTTTCATCCTCAGGAAGGGCTTTTCTCAGGGGACCCATACCATTATGCCATTTCGCAGTGTTGAACTCTAAACACGGGACGGGGCGCGCCAACCGAGTCCGTAACACCCGTCGAGTCCATTTGGTGCGGAAGTGATGAGTGTACTTGTTGGACTTGGATGTGGAAGACCATAGAAATGACATGAAATGACGTGTTTGGTGGGAGGATCACCAGGTACAAGACTTCTAGCAATTCTATATAACTCGTCGCTCATGTTATGCGCCGCTGGACGAATGTGTGTTTGTGCTAGTTTGGGCATGGCATCATGTCCGGCTTGCCTTGGCAAGCACAAACTAGCTTGCAAACATCGGCCCCAGACGCGCTTCGATGACTCAGACCGGCCCAAGGATATTGATCATTCTTTGTCTCACAAGCCTAGCCTGCCTTGATGGGACTCCTTCTGCCTGCACTTGGTAAGTCCGACTCACCTGAATATGTCCATAATGCCTGGATGATATGCTTGGATATATACATGAGACACAGTCACACTGACCGACCTGGAGTAGGTGGCTGATGGAGGATCCAGCCACCTTTCCCAAGTCAGGTGAGCCAACGTTAGTCCGCAGACACCTTTTTCTTCAACAGCAGAGACGAAGCTTTTCCAGCCGTTGAAAGTGCTGTTTTTCGGCCTTCCTTGCCTCACTCCCTCGGGGCGTCGCACCGACTGTACTCTTGGCCTTTTGGCTAGCAACACCCCTTTGTCAATCATTTTCCTAGCAGATCGGACGTGCAGGCAGCATGCAAGCCCAGAAGCTGCCTCCTTGGGTGTGTTCTCTTGGTGGAAGAGCTTTGGTGACAGGTGCAACTAGCTTGTCAAATCAATTTCTGCAGTGGTGTTGAGATTCTTGGACTTACTTGCCAGGGCTTTTCATACACACAATATAGTATTACATTATTGTGTTTGTTTCTCCAATGTTGCTGTGACTTTCCTGGGGATCCCTTTCACTTCATTTTACACAAGCTTCATGATTCTACTCCACACTTCAGGTCTTTCCGAAATGTCACGAAAGCTAGCGAAGCTAGCTGGAGTTACTCTTGCGATAGCAAGGTTTCTTTCGATCGGGTGCTCCCCACCTCCCCTCTCCCCACCTCCTCTTCTCCTCCCACCTTCCCTCCCTCCCTCCTTCCCTCCCTCCCTCCCTCCCTCCTCCCTCTTCGCAAGTTCGGCTCCGTCCTGTCGTCGCTCTTTGGCATGCGGTTAGCGTTGCGTATCTTGCGGCCGCACTCGCTCACTCTCACTCTCACTCTCACTCTCACTCTCACTGTCTCTCTCTCTCTCTCATCTCTCTCATCTCTCTCTCATCTCTCTCTCATCTCTCTCATCTCTCCCTCATCTCTTTCTCATCTCTCTCTCATCTCTCTCTCCTCTCTCTCTCTCTCTCCTCTCTGTCTCTCGTCTTTCCGTCTCTCTTCCCTCTCTTCTCTCGCAGGAGGATCCGGGCAAAGAGCCACATATAAAGGACTCTTCACCTGGAATCGTTTGCCCCGCCCAACTTGTGCAAGGCGTCCTGCCTTTTGCTACTCTGTGCGACTGCCTCCAAAAAGAGCGCCGTGTTTTTTCCTACCTCGCTGCCCTCCACTTTCCCATTCTGGAGCGCTAGCTTTCGCCCCCCCCCCTTGGCCTCAAGTTCCCCTCCACCTGCCCCCAGAATCTTCTAGGTGTTCACATGAGCACTCACATGGTGTCACCTACTTGGTGGATACTGATCCCACCCAGTCGGCACCGTCCCCAAAACCGAGGCCTGAAGGCCGAGGCAGCTGGGTTGGTTTCCAGGGATGCAGGACAACCCATGTACTTTTGACGGCTTGGTTCCAAGGTAAAAGACGTGAAACAACTATACATCATCTTAAAAAAGCCTGGTTTGGACTCAGTTTTGACTCTCAAAAACGATAGGTTTTCTCATAGTTTCTGATGGTTTGGACTGGATCTTTCTCAAGCAGCAATTCTGGGGTTCTTGTGGCTGGACCGCTGGACCAACCGAAACGGACAGGTGATGTTCTTGGACGAATCAACCCGTGCTTCCCCCAAGCTGTTGACTGTTGAGATGTCAAGCTGACATTCATTTGGATCGGATCGCTTTTAGGGTTCTTGTCAGTCAAAAAATGGTGGCACTTGTATCAGTCTGGAAGATGAGCTTCGGACTTCGGAGAAGATGCCGGCACAGAGGGTTGGAGGAGGGAATCGTCAGAGAGCTAGATTTGGTGATGGATTCAACCAGCCGGCTCTTTTTGACCAACAATCTTGCAGGTCAATCACCACTACATCAACACAAAGATACCAAAAAAGTACACTCCCTGAAATCATCATGGAAGTGGAGCAGTGCACCATCGTTCACCTGTTTATTTTTCCGGATATTCCGAAGTCCTCCAAGGTCCATCATTGATCAACATGTTTTTTGGAGAGTGCCCAGACCATCCATCGTATGGAATTAATGAATAGTTACCTATTACATTGGAGTTTTTGTTTACATGGGGTGAATGTAAGTATATCACATCATATCACTACTATCACTACTCCAGTCCCATGAATGGTCTGGAAAGTTGAGTCACAGAGTTGATCCCACATTCATTCGGACATGTTCTTCGCTCGGTTTCGCCAGCCCGTCTACAAGACTGTGCTGATGTGCCCGTTCGGAACGCCCATGGGGCTGGGTGTGGTTTATTTGTTGTGTGGTTCTCCCAAACTGAATCCCTGCTCGGATTGCGACGACAGCAGAGAGATCGGAGCAACAAGATGTTTTGAATGTGCTGCATCGATCTTCGGGTCTTGAATGTTGTGATTCGTGATGTTTTGATTACTTTAAGAACATGGAAAGTGTACCCTTCAAGCAGCTGAGAGCCCGCAGAAGAGTTCTGTGTGCCAAATACAACAAGTGCTTTGTGTCACTTCCCAACAATCACACGGTTCTGAGATTCATATGTGTGTGTTTTGCTGCAATCAACGCACAGGAAAAAAATGAACAACGTCAGGCAATGTGTGTTTCATGTGTTTCTTGACCTGTTTTGTCCATCAGTTGCAAAGACGATTTGACAGATTGCCGGGCGCAGGTGTGACACGGTATATATAGTCCCACCAGACCTGGAGCCCCATCCCCCTCGAAGAAATGATGCAACGCATTTATATATAATATGTAACTGTATTTATATATACAATAATACAGTAGAACTAAATACTCCATGGGACTGGAATAGATACCTACATTCACTTCTGAAATCATCCAAAGTTGAACGGTAAGTATAGGTCATACATGGACAGACTGATTTGGATTAAAAACACCTATTACTTTAAGTATGTGCACTGTGCACCGTCATCCTCAGGCAGGTAAACTCTTAGGATCCCCAAACGGACTGAAGAGACACATGTTGGAGATGTTTGTTCTTTGCTTCAAGGTTAGACCTTCCCGCACGATCTCAGCTGCCGAACTCTTCGATGCCCATCCTTCCCTTTCCCGCTCACGGGAGTGATCCAAGGCCCAGTAGCTCAAGGCCCAAGCTGCCCAACTATCAGAATCTCACACCTTGGGCCCCTCGATCGCAAAGGCGGTTCGGTCGGAGGAAGTCGAGGCCGAACAACGTCCTTTTCTGGAGCGGACAGATGGGCAACGGAGGTTCACATGCCCGAGAACTAACAGGCTGGGACTCTTGAGAAGACACATGTTACATGTTAGTTTACATGTTTTTGTTTCCTTATGTAGCTCTCAAAGAAAGCAACTGGTTTGGGGCACTGAAAAGCCTGAAGAATCAAGAATAGAGGGTTCGTTAGCCAAAAACACCGTTTTTGGCTGGTGGAATTTCCGGGTTTGGGGTTGGTGAACAAGAATGAGAACCTATTGGAAACCTTATATTGGTTATGAGTCATAACGGTCATGCGGATGAGAACTTCCGGAACCACACAAGTACTGCCCCCTTCCCATCATGCACCTGTTTGTTCTTTTGGATTCTTTCGGGTCTTCCCACACGGAGTGTTCAGCACTGCCCCGGAAGAAAGCAAATGAAAGCAATACTGCTCAACATTGCCCAAAGCCAAATCAGCTTTATGCAAAACCAGCGCCACAAGTACATCTGTTTTCAGAACAAACATAGACAACCACCAACAAACTGTTGGTTTTGCAGTCATATGGAGATTAAACAAAAAAGACATGATAATTCCTCAACCTTCAATCGCGTAGCAAGCGAAAAACTCGAGGCAGGTAGCCGGCCCGACTCGTCCCCCAAAGAGAGCTCGACTCGCCCGACTCGCCGCTCCTCGCCGCTCCCCCTCGGCTCCTCCGCTCCGAGGTGAGGATCTTCTTTTTCGCCCACACGTGCGACCGGGGAGGACGTGAGAAGACGTGAGACCGGTGAGACCGGTCAACACGAAAACGGTGGAGCTGGATGGGTCTGGATGGAGAATGTGGGATGATGCTTCTTAAAGGGATGTGCATTCTGTTGACTTGTGTTTGACTTTGGCAGACTTGTAAACGGCGCGGAACTTCAAAAAAACATGTGTAGTAGTTGTAGTTGTTGTAGTCCATGTCTTGTTAGGAAAGCAGTGTTGAACGTTCAATGCAATATAGAAAGGACTGCAGAAGGCAGAAGGTGCCATGAATTCTATAGATCAGGTCCAAAGTAGCTGATTCAATCGTTTGCATGGTCCGACTCTAAGTGGCCGAAATGCAGTTGACTACCCGCAGTTGGTGGATCCAAGTTCATTCATCAACTCTTCGGAAGGTCATTGAGCTATCTTGAGCTTCCAAAACCCGACCATCCTTGCTTACTTTCATAGGGAGAGTATGTGAGTCCCAACGAATCTAGAAATCGTATATCAAACAATTATGGAGAAACGCAACTACCATCCCGAGTCACAGACGTAGGAACTCCATCCATTCGTGTCTTCTGAAAACACGTTTTGACAAACCTGTGCAGGGTTGGACAAGGACCTTGATTCAGCAACCCAAGCCGTCATCAAATTGGCTGGGTGAGGTACTATGCTTACATTTACACGTTTTACATGTTCGTGCGGCGCTTGGAGGGAACTTTCTGAGAGACCAGTTGCTGTGTGTGTTTTTTTGTTTTGAGTTTTTGTATATGTTTGTAATTGCTTGAAGACTTGATTGCTGTAGTCCCAGAAATCATGACCGCTTGTTGACCTTTATGCTTTTGACTGGCTGTTGCGACTGTGTTGTGGTGAAAGCATGGCTGCTGGTGTATGCTCCAAAGTTTGTGTTCACGCAGGGTCACTCATAAGTTCATAAGTTAAGCGTTACCGACTCAGGTGTTTGCATTCTACAAGGGCTATGCGCAGGGCAAGCCCAGTGTTGAAACCTCTTCGCCTTGCTTGGTGAGTTGAGTGCATGGGAAGCTGCATTGCCAACGAATACAGGTGGCCCTGTACTACTGTACCTCAATATCGAAAATATCTAATTGCTCCCCCTCCCTACTATTGGCAAGTAGTATTTCATGCTCAAACAGGACTACATCAAGTGTAGTCAAAGGCTATTCTGAAAAAAATAAAAAACAAGTACGTACACACGGGGAACATCGCCAAGGGCGTTGGAGTTTTTTCGTGTTTGATGCCCGAAAAGACACAGCCGAACGGGTGGATTTGTGCATAATATTCAGTTTGATTGAACTGGCATAGAAACAGGGAACCCCCAGCCATTTGTCATTTCCATGTGTATTCTGATTTGTTTTGGTTTGAGTTTGTTCCCCTGATAGCTGCAGGTTATAGGGGTTCTAACTTCTCAATGGTGTGGCCCTAGATCGGCGTTTTGGTTTTGCGGGTGCTGCTGCCGTGCTGATGCTGGTGCGTGTGCAGGCGCTGGCTTTGGATCGGCGTTTTGGTCTTGCAGGTGCTGGTGCTGGTCCAGGGATGACATCATGTCTTGCGAGGGATGATGACATCATGTCATGCCAGGGGCGACATCATGTCATGCCAGGTATTATATCATGCCATGCAAGGGATGACATCATGTTGTGTTAGGGGTGACAAACCTATGCACCCGCTATCTGGGGCCTATGCCGGTGTAATCTTGAACTGTGGCAAGCACTGAAACCCTCCATGTGAAAGAGGAAAATCTCAACACATTGGTTTGATGTTGTTTGATGTTTTTTTTCTCTCTCTCTCTCTCTCTCTTTTTGCTAAGCTAACTTCACAACAACGAAAAACATTTGACGTGAACATTTTGTTTTGCCATGAGGCTGTACTATCCGCAGAACCGGAAGATTTGGGAGATCGTCGGGGAGCCGAGGTCCTTGCGGAACCGTTTCGATTTCACCGGGCGTGGATGGCATGGGATTGTTTTGTGAACAGTCTATGCATGCTTTTTGTTTGGGTTGTTGGTGTTACCCTAAGGCCTCCAGACGCCCCAACAACACCATTTGGAAAAGTGTCTTTTGGTTCTGTTCTGGACCGATTCATTCCTGCTGAATGGTCCATGGATTGTGTTCCATGGAAAGCTGAAGAAGTGGTGCTGCAGAGTCGGCACCGGCGAAGGTCCAGGATCCAAACCATAAAACCACCCATGTACGAAGTAGGTGCATACATTTACCCCATTTAGGATCCTAATGTAGGTAGCAATTACATACACATGGATGGTATGGGATTCTTATGAGGAAAAGCTCGCGTGGGGCGTGGGGCAGCTTGTCCGTGGACAATTTCGACGGAATAAGGAGATCACGGCTTGTATTTCAATAGGACAATCTCCGAACCGGGTTTATTTGCACACCCGTGTCTGTGCATGGATTGAGCTTGGAATCGCTCGGATACGGCCGCACATGCCTGATCAGAGGTTTATGGGCCCAGATGACCAAATCATATGCAGATGACCAGATCGATGGCCTTCTTAAACCAAACAGAATGGCAGTTTGGACGTTGGTTCTGCTTAGGCAGTCGCTCTTTGTTGGAGAAGTCCTTTCAAGAAACTCCATCCTTGATCGTGTTTGTTTTGCTACAGTCTAGTATCGGCGGAGCGGCGCAGCAGTTCCACAGTTCAAACGGAAAAATAAAACTACTGAGAAAACAGTGAGAGACCTCTCACTGTTGTCTTGTTTTCTCACTGTGGTCTTCACTGTTGATGACCTCTCGGCGCTCTTGGCCGCTCCGCTCCACCGTCCCACTCGGTGCTCCGCTGTGTGCTCCGCGTGTGTGGCGACGATCGCGTGCAACACGGTGCTCGCGGCCATGAGCGATGTGGGTGTGATGCATGAGCTGCTTTTTGCCTTGCTGGGCTACACCGGTGGCCTCGCTGCTTGACCTGAAAATCGTTCAATACAATAAGAGACTGATTCAAAGAGTTTGGGCGGATAAAGGAGGGATTTGGAAGATGAAGACATCCTTTGCCTACCAAGTGTGTTTTAATATGTTTTAGTTTTTCATAAATATGTTTTCATTTTACATAGACTTTTAGCATTTGGGTGCCTTTTCTGAGGTCATGCCAGTCATTTGGCTGCGTTTAGGATAGACGAAGCAATGATCCCAATGCTTTGATCTTCGACATCGTTGCGCCCCCCAAAAAATCCACGCGGGGCGTGTGTGTGTTTTCATTGCGTCAGGTGGTCGAGACACCCGAAGGCTTCACGCTAGCACCACAGAGCTTCATCACTGAAGGAGAGCGACAACTGCTGGAGAAGACCCTCAAGGTGCGGAAGGAGGGCGTGGGCTGAAGTTGGGCCACGTTGGCTGACACCGGAGCCAGTACTGGAGACAAGGGGTCAGAGGAGCCAGGGTGAGATGTATAGCTTCAGCGGCCCATTTTTGTTTGAGACATGTGGAATGATGATGGAAAAGGTTGGAAGAAAAGGGTTGGAAAAGGTATGATGATGGACCGAGGTATGTTTGAGACCAAGGTATGATGATGGAAACGGTTGGAATTCTCTGTGGGGCCTGGCTCAATATGAGAGAGAACTACTCACCAAAACTCTGGGACAGCTCGACCATCGACGGTTTCAGGAGGTTTCAGGTCTGTGTGTCAATGTGTTTCAGGTATCGAACCATCGAAACCTTGCGTTCCTTTGCCCCGCTTTTCGGAAGCGTTGTGGAGTAGCGGTGGAATTCCATTCCATCCTCAACAAAGACATAATGCAATTGTTTGATGCTGGTGATTGATGCTTCACGTGGGCCTAGAGAGGCCAATGTGCGAACAAAGAAGATGTTTTGTATGGCTAGCGAGGTATGTTACATACGTACCAGCGTTCACTGTTACTTGAGTTGTTTTCTATTTGGATCTATTTGGTCTCTTCATTGTGCTATGTTATCGAACACACAATTTATACCGTCATTGTTTTGGATCTTGGAGCTGTTCTAGATTTCTGTCAACGACTTTTGTCGCTGGTCACAAGTTTGAAGAGTTGCAATCCATGCCAAATACAATGGTCACCTTTCTTAAGCCTCCCTCTTACACCCGTGCCATAGCACCATTTGGGTCGGCCCTTGCCTTGCGGGTCTTTCCATGTCTCCTGCAGGTCGGCTTCTACTGCAAGAAGCTCTCAGACTTCACTGCCACCCTGCGGCGCCGCCACTTCGCCAACGCCGGGACGGAGACGACGTCGCCAGGGCACTACGCGTATGGCTTGGCTGTGCGAATCGAATCGGCCTTGGAGAAGTTCCGCGAGAAGGTCTTGGAGTTGGAAGATGAAGTCCTCGAGGTGCGTTTGTTTTTTTTTGTGTGTGTGGGGGGTAATGTATTGAAGAAATGGTTCGATCCAAGTTAATGTTGGTTTTGCTAATTTATCATTCTGTTTGGGTGTTGGGGTTCGGGGATTGGATGGCAGTGGTTGGCAGATGTAGACACGAATGGCTTTGTTGGATCGATTTGTTTTGTTTGTAGTTTTTATCATTTGGTTGCAAATTGTGACGGCTGGGTTTTGTCAAGGATTAGAAACACAACAGAGAGAAGGAGTGGCATGTTGGATACAGCGGCACAGCCAGAACATAACTACTGTACATTCAACTCATTTACGAAACATAACATATATATATATATATACAATACACGTTGCCTTTCCAAACTCTTGAAGTGCTTAAAGGGGTGCTCATGATCTACTGGATTGGTCCAACCATAAAATTCAATGCAAAAGCCAATTTGTCCACACCGCCGATGTTCGGTCTTGGTACCCTTGCCAGAAGCCCAGCTTGCCGCTGGCCTATCTCCTGGCGAAGCTGGAAGAAGATACGGTGCTCTTGGGTGTCTTGCACCGCTTGATGACACAGGTGGGGCCGTGTGCGAGTGCTCGACAAGGTCGTCTCAGGTCGGGTGTTGGGGCCCAATTTGGCCCGTCCAGCCAAGGCAGAGATAAACATGTTCAGAACAACTTTAGAATACTTTCAGGATACTTTCAGAATACTTTCAGACTTTCAGGATATGTTCAGCACACTTTCAGGATACTTTCAGGATATTTTCAGGATACGTTCACAATCCTCGTTCTCATGTCCCCTAGTAGATGCTTCAACCCAAGTCCCGTAGAGGAGGGTCACTTTTCTAGTAGCACATGGCCCGAGTTTATTGCTGGAGCCCCACTGTTTTCTATAAACCAGCTTTTTAAGGGATGATGTAAAATGTGTGTTTCCATACCTTACCAATTCCTAACAAGACATTCTATAGCTGTTGTATGCTACAAATTGCAAAACGTTAACAATCAATAAGGACACCATTTCTAGAAACAGCTGTTTAATATGCAAACAGTGCAACACACGTTTAAACATATGATTGGCCAGAAAAATCGGGAGCGAAGATTGAGTGAAAAAGAAATGAGGAAAGCTTGCTGTGTCAATGTATGTGCAAGTCAAACATATACGATTGTACAAGATCTTATACTATCTAAAAATTGGTTGCTTGATTCTTTCCTGATTTTCATTGATAGCTGAACATCTCTAGGAATGGTTATTTTCACGTTTTGCTAGGGATGAATCTTGTCAAACGATCCCTCTTTCTGGCGCCTCTATATTTTCTGTTGTTCACACTCGTCTCATTTTATTCACAGTGGAACCCGCACAAGACCATTCCCTAGAGAGGCATAAGATCATGAAGATAAAGTCTTGATTTCTTTTTTTTTGGAATGACTCGCATTTCATTTTTTTGAACCTGGCCTGTTTGTTTTCTAGTTAGAGAACGGTTCATCAAGGTTCTCCTTGACATGTTAACGAGGATATTTCACATACTTTTAGGATATCTTCAGCTACTTTCAGCTACTTTGAACAAGCTTCAGGATACTTTCACGTCCTTTGAGGCATATACTTTCACAATAATTTCAGATACGTTCACAATACTTTCAGAGATGTTCAGAACATTTCAGAACACTTTTAGGTACATTCAGAATACTTTCAGATAATTTCAGGATACTTTCGAAACCACGTTCAGATACTGTCAGGACATATTCAGATACGTTCAGGATATGTTCAGATACTTTCAGAATATATACTGTCAGATCAGATACTTCAGAAGTATGAAGTTATACAAATAATTAGAAACACAAAAATAGTAACCAGTGCCAGTGCATGTGTACAAATTTGATGGCAGTAGTGGATTCTCTGGTGTCCTATCTATGAATTCCCGTCGTGGATCTTGTTGATCCTTGTCGATGGTCGATGTTTCAAGCATTTTGGTTCCCATTTTCCGGTCCCCTTGTGTCAAGATACGTCCCAATGGAAGACAGACTATCGATTCAGGAATAGGTTGTGTCATGTCGGCAGCCCGGAGGTCCCCTGAAGCGGCCGCCCAGGTCACCACGCGCTCCCTCCGTGGTGCAGTGCCCAAGCGAGAAGAAGAGACAGTGAATGCATGGGGGGTCGGGACTCCCTAAATCATCGTAAAACCTATGTATTTGGAGGCTATCCTTCCTACCTGGCGAAAGAATGATATTGGAAAACCATGGGTATAGTCTTCCCCGAAAGGAATACACTGGAAGAGGGCCACAAGGTAAACAAACTGAAAACGACTGCCCGTTGACTTCGCTCCATCCGCTGGCTCCATCCGTCCCCAAAACAACCCACATGGTGCTTCCACCGGTTTACCGGTGTTCCGCCAGGCCTTGTTAGATCTCCTGTGGCAAGCAGTGGCGTGCGCTGGAGGCCCCTCCTTACAGCGCTGCCTGGCGGAGCAGCTGGAGGGCGCTGGGCAAGTCTGGGTCAATCAGCTTGTGGCGCCTCTTGGCTCCGAACGTTCGAGCAACACGTTCTTCTTTTTTTCTCGGCCACACAAGGGGGGTGTTCTTTTCATATACCATATATATATATACACATTCGACACACAATTACAAGGAACGGGATTAAAAGCCATTGCATGCACATATTTTTGGAGCACAGCACAAGTTCTGCTAATATGATCCTATACATCAACATCTATATATACGTACTTAGTTCTTCCCCCTTGGATTTGTTGCCCCCTTGGACTAGCCAATTTGGCCTATAGGTGGATGGTCTACGGTCGCTTGGCAGACCCAGACCATGAGTTCTTCGTGCAACGTCTCGACACCTCCGACCAGAGGAGCGTGGAGGAGAGCGACCAGGGCGGGTGACCGGAGGTTCAACCGGGGATCGGGAGCGTTTGGTGGTGGAAAAAGCTATAAAAGCGCTGTTTCAAAGGCCTGCAAGAGAGAACTTTGAGTTGATTGGTGTCTTAGATACTTATGCAACTGCACGAATGAGCAGTTGCGTGGAGTGAGGTACCTGACGAGGTTGGAAGGAAGCTGGGAGCTGCGACTAATATGGCTGCAATGATATCACCACTACAGGAAGAAGGCTAGCATGAACCAGTATGTACATAATCAGCACGTATACCATGTTGGGCTTTTGTGGGTAACCAAATCGCAGGGACAAGTGGCATGTGGGCTATTGAATGTGAGTGCCATAACACTCACATAATCAACGATGCTACTTCATTTCAGCTCGCAATGTTACGTATGGTTTGTCCTACGGCTGCAAAAATAACAACACATTGAACGCAACATCTTGAACCTCACACAACCAGACCAAAGAATCATGACGAAGAAGAATGGTTACTCCATTACACTGTATTCCAATGTAGCACGTTAGATCAATTCTGGGTTGGCCAACTTGCCAGGTTGAACACAACCCAATCATGTGTTTTCTTACATCCTTTCGACTCCGTTCCCACTTATAAGTTAACTTGTCAAGCCTATGAATTTGGAGTTGAACCCCTTTGTTTGGACCCGCTTTTTTCGATTCACTCCCCACCCTCCCTGGGGGTCCAGGACCTATCGCTGCCGGGTGAGGCACTGCAGGAGTGGCATCACCTCTTTCAGCTCCGCGAGGAGGCCGTGCCCCGTGCCTTTGGTCGTTTGCGAGGCCGATGAAGGCCGATGAAGGGCTCAAGCGGGATGGTGACCTGGGTGGACATGGTGGTGTTTCAAAAGGATGGACATGGTTTTCAGAAGATGGAGATGTTGGATTCGGTTCGGTGCTTTGAAGGTAGCTGCTTGCGTGGAGAGGTTTTTAGCTATTTGTCTATGATTTCTATCTGAAGAATGGGCTCAACAATGATAGCTTCAGGGCTGGGGACCTCAGCAAGAGTGGGGGGCTTGCAGTGACCATGTTTAAATGAACAGCGGTTCTCTGCACCTGTTGGAACGACTAGAGAGTCCAATGGTCTACCGTGTCACAATGTCCCAACCCTCCCATCCCTGCATCCCATTTTGGAGCTTTACATCTACTCTGACTTTGCTGGGGCCTTTGCTTGACCTGCCCATCGCAGCTCTCCCCAATCCAAGGAACTGTGATCACGCGCAACGCCGCCGAGAAGGCTCCCTTGTCGGTTGAAAAAACACATCCATCGTCGGTTTCGACCGCGGGCGGCAAGCTCGCATTGGTGGCCAAGGTTTCGTGGCCGACCTTGGCTCACTGGTGCCCAAAGCCAATGAAACGTCATGAGTCCTATGCGAAAAATCCCGACATCCAGTCAAACGGACTTTTGCGGATCATGCTGTGAGGGTCTCGCCATCAACATGGCCCATCTCGCATGGCCCATGGCAAAACAGTCTCCATTGATCTCCAATTCCAATCTGCATCATGTTCCGCTCCCTCGTTCTTCCTTGCCACAAGGTGCTCTTTACTGGAAAGGCTGTGCGGGTTTTGATCCGCTCTCACTGCTGGAGTGGACAGGAGGAGCATTTGCAGAGGCATGTGGACACCTTGAGGCCGGTTTACTGTTGGGGGCGATGCCTCTGAATGTTTCCGCGCCTGGGTTTGGTCATGGTGGCACCCTTCGAAATTGACAGTATGTTGGCCGACGGGAGGCAGGTGCCCTGCTAGCTCCTTGAGGGAGCTGTGCCTGGAGGAGCTTTTGTGTAGGGTGGATAAGTTGGAGGTCGCTCCCTCAACTTGTTTGAGGGGATACATGTTCTTGTATTTGAGCGAGAATAATGCAGAGTCTTGCTCGTGGGCATGCGTCATCATGCGGTTGGATGGTGCTTTTGGTGTTTCTGGTCGGCTTCCCGGGGCGATTCCTATGGGTGCGCAAGTGGGCTACCTACCAGGGAGTTTTCTTGGACTGGCAGTAGAGCAGCACAGGGTTTCCCTGGGCTTCGGACGGACGTATGAGCTTGTCGTTTGAGGTCCTGCTTCTCGTGCAAGAGCCCCTGCAACGTCCTGGAGCGTTGCATCGGCCATCTGGCGCGATTTCGGAACGGATGTCTTGATCGGCCAGCTGGGCCTCCGCTTCAGTGGGTTCCCGGAACTTGGGAACCTGGGTTGACCACTGAAAATCAAGTGAATAGAATACCAGCCAGGTCAACCCAGGGTTTGGAGCTCCAGGTGTCCTACCCACAGCCCAAAAGATCAAAAGCATATGAGCGCATCCAAAGGATCTGAGATGATCTAAGAGGTCCAGGACAATCCTAAGGATGTATGCAACAGCGCATGGCGACCATGCTTTGACAGCACTTTGATATCGAAAACCATCCTTAGAAGGCTCAGAAGTAAACCTTTTGGATACAGTAGCTTTATAGCTTGCGTGTGCTAGCCACTAGTTATGCAGGGACTAGGTCAGTTTCTTCGAACATAACTCTTGTTGGGTTTCACAGGCCGATCCTTTTCCAATGCGGTGGTCACTTTGAAGAACAGCATTATGCACAAGGTGGGTCTTTAGCAGAGGTTGGTCTCAATCCATTTTTCCATGCGTTCAACCATGCTTTGACTACAATCACCACTTTCATCAAAGACAACTCGTCGAGGAACTAGTTAATTTGCTTCGTTTGGTTTGGGTGCGGGTCATATACCCATATATCATATCATGTCATTCTTGTCCAGGAGTCCAGGTCCAATCATTCTCACAATGTGCAAGCTCTCAGAGACCAAAACTAGCCCGCCAGGCAATGTTTAAGGTCTGGACTACACTCTGACGCACGAACATGGAAGCGGAGGTGACCCCCCGCTGGAGAAAAGTCCTCCAAGGAGCCATCCACTTCCACGTTGAAGACTGAGGAATCAAACCCCCCATATTGAGGTTGTACCAAAGGGGGGGGCCATGAGGGGGCGAACGTGAATCAACAAATCGCCCTTTCGCCGAACCGCGGTGTCCCAAACGTACGCGGCATTTTCTCGCAACGCAGCCGCTACACGGTGACGCAGCCACGCGTGGCGACGCTACGCAGCTCGCTGCTGTCAGGTGAGCTGAAAGAGAACGCCAATGCCCAGCTGCTGGAGCTTCTGAAGCGATCACGTCTGGTGCAGACCCTGCAGGCGATGAAAGGCGGGAGCGAGCACAAAAAAAACATGTGGGGACGCACGGACGGTCGCACGGTTGTGTGGGAAGGGAAGGTCGGAGGAGAGTGGGGGGGTGTGGGAAGATAGGAAGGACTGAGCAAGCAGTTATATAGCTTCAATAGACTCTGGCAGAAGATTGGAGTATATTACTTTAAATTGTTTTTATACTCCTAACGTTCTTTTTGTTGGAGCGTTCCCATGTTTAGAACTTGCAAGGGGAAATTCCTTGATTGGCCACTGTCTTCGATTCGGAGGGCATTGTTTCTTTCCCCAAACGTTTCACTGTTTGGGGTTCTCTCTTAAAAAGGTCTGGCCACGATAGCCATGGCCGCGCCGCTTTCCCTTTCTCCTCTGCCATGTCCGGGTTTGTTTCGTTGTAGCTATGGGTGTGACAGTGATGCAGCAGTTCAATCTTCATCTCACCCTGGTCCACAAAAAACAATTGTTTACATTCTGTTCCCGAACGGCTGGAGGCCATACCGGCCATACCGGCCATAGGCATACAGACATGTCCACCACCCGGAAACATCCTGCTGAAACTGTTTGGGGTCTATGCTGGTACAGCTATTTTGGAAGATATGATTCCTTAGGCCGATAGATTTCAATATATATATATATATATCACAAGCTTCAGGACCAGTTGACTTGCTGCGCCGGCTGCTCGTTGCGATAGGTTTTTACCTCCTGGGCTATGGTGCCTTCTATCAGATGCCTGGCAGTTTGTGTCAATTCAGATCACACGAATTCACTGGGAAAACCAACAAAACACTCCAAACCAAACCACCGACGGTCACCGACGCCTTAAGGTGTGTCGGACCCGACTCCGACTCTCCGACTCCGCGACTCGACCCACCGGTGCGACCGGTGCGCACCGGTGCACCGAAGATCGTGCGACGTTCCCTAAGGACCTTGTTAGATGTCGAGGGGACAAGCCCACAAGCGCTGCTGGATGGTTGGGAGAAGGCCTTGGCGGAGATGGAAAGCAACTCGGAAGCGACTTCGACTTCCGGGTTGAAGTGAGTGTGAGTCTATTGTCGGGTCAAAAAGTCCCCCATCCCCAAAATAGACCACGCCGGGTAAAGAGGATCATTATCATGTTCCCAAACATGCTAACGTTTGTCAAGCAAAGACTATAGAGTGACTAGTGGAGGCACGGCATGCTTCAATAAACGTTGTTCCTGGAATAACTCAAGACATCTCAAGAAACAACTCAAGACATCTCAAGACCTACTGCCAAAAAACAAGCTTTTTGAATCCCTTTGTAAACAGTTGTCACTCTACTAAAAGTATTTTTGAGCCATTCTCAGCTCACCAAGGCACTGCAACTGGCGCATCTGCACGCGACACCTCGTCCGCCGTGCACTGCCACGCTGTTCGGCTTCAGCTGGTGCCCAGGTCAGTGGATTTGCACCTTGGACCGACCCCGGATCCGGGAACCACGGAACGGATGTGTGGCGAGCTCGGAGCGGGTCGGAGTGGAGTGGGGTGGGGTGTAATATGAGAATATAGGCAAAAATGGAGAGGTATACGAGAACTGTGGTTTCTGCAGAGTTGGGCCATGGAAAGATAGCTCAAAGCGTGTTGGACGACCATGACTAAGCTTCAAGTCATGAGATGGGCGGAACATCAATACAGTCACAGTGACAGTGATGCAGACATGTTTTGTTCATGCCTCGACTCTCTTGTGAGAATGAATTACTTCCAAGCAGACACTTAGCTTGCACGGAGGCAATTGTTTGCTGAGGGTAGCCAGATATTTTGTGTTTGGTGGTCAATGCAGATTTAAGTGTTCAAACAGCTTCGACCTTGCAACCAGTCTTGTTCGGCCAAACTGCATGAAGACTTGAAACTAGTCTTGCTCAGCCAAACGCTTCGCCCAAAAGGCTAAGCGTGTTGATGCGATCATGTTGATTTGACATCAACGGATTAGGAACACCATTTTCAACCAACACCTGGGCTTGATGCACTTGAATAGTTTATACATGTTTAATGTTTATACACGTTTGATCGGGAACCCGACAAAGTGAGGCGTGCGAGTTAAGTTTGCACAGCAGACTTGCTGGGGCAGTTCCCACCCCTCCAAACAAAAACATAACAAAATGCCAAGTTTCAACTGCTGGGCCGAGGCATTCCTTTGACGATGAGAATGTCAAGGTCATGGGCGGGCGCTTGGAGAACGGCCTGGTGCTGATGTCGCCGCGAAGCATGGTGTGGCTGCAGACGAAAGTCAGGCGGGGTGGGGAGGTGGTGGCTTGACGAAGAAAGAGACATGGAAACAGAAACGCGATGGCCTCCAACCCAAAAGCGATGGCCGCCAACCGCCTCCAACCAAATAGCGATGGCCTCCAACCTACTAGCAAAATTGTGTTTTAAACAAGGATGAAAATGGTATTCTACCATCCAGAGCTGGTGCTCACGACATGAGGCTTTGGTCAATGGCGCTTTCTCATGAGCTTGGCTTGAGGTAGGTTGCTGTGGGGATAGTTTTCTTATGTGTTATTTTTTAGAGATAACTTCTTGACAAGCAGCTACGGTGTTCAAACACATATCAAGTATTTTTTCAGGCACATGGTTCTCTCCCTGCCTGCCACGCTTGAACAATCGCTAGGTGGCACGGTTTATTGACAAACATCAAAAGTGCTTCCTTTCTGCAGGCCTCCACGCCCCCATGGCCAGACTCAACATTGAAACTGGGACACTGGTGCCTGGAAACAAAATCATTGAAACAATCTTGTATTTGGGAACGTTAACTTTTGAAGAAGGCAGCCGGCAGCGGTGGTCACTGCAGATTCTGATCCCAACGTGCGTCCATTGCAGGCGGTTATTGCTTATGTGTTTCAATCACACATAACCCAAAAACCTGCAGCTTCTTGCGTTTCTCCATTTACCACAGTGGTCTCAACATGTCTCAACACTCATCGGCCTAGGATCTCCAGCAGCTTTCAGCACGTGTTCAACTTCCAGCTGCGCCCCAAGCACCGTGGTGGGAGCGCAGCGTCCACCGCATCTCGTGCCTTTGGGGAGTACGGCACGCGCTTGGCGCTGTGCTTTCAGCCGAACCGCCGGCTGCAGGAGCGCGGTTTCCGGGGCGAATGGGCAGGGCGAATGGCAGCTGTGGACTTCAGGGCAGTGCTTCAACGTATTGGCGTTCTGTATCATTTTAAGCTGAAGAATGGGAATTGGCAATTTCAATCAGAGAGAACATGCTCTGAAACAGGAGGCTTTGCCAATGGACTTGGGATGATTTGAGAGTTCCCTGCATGAATTTAGGTCATCTTCAGCCCAAAAGCTTGGCATGGGCGAAGATTTCAAGGATTACACGTTTTCCTGGAAAAGTAATGATGAAGTTGAAGCCTTACAAAGTGTGCATGATAAATTGTTACTTTCAGCACTCTTTTCTGTCTGGTGATACTGCTTTTTTGTGATCCTGCTATTCTCAATTTATCAACAAAACATCGAAAACATACGATGGGCTTGCCCAAGCTTCTCACCACCTGACGCGAAAAAGAAACACAACAAGCCAACAAAAGTGATGCGAGTGATGCAATTGTTTTAAAGCAGCACTCCAGAGGCTGTTTTCACAGCACTTGTGGGAAAACCTGTTTTGGTGCTGCGACATGTCCCATTGTTCTTTCATTATCGTGCTGGGCCGTCATTACTCACACACTGGTCAGGGGTGGGGCACCTCCATTCAGGAGATCGTCGAGCCCTTGGAGACCTGGCGCAGCTTGGGGGAATGCCTGGCAGTGGAGGTCACGTCGCTCGGAACCACTGGACCCGTGGCGCCGGTGTTTGGCATGCAGAATGGCGCAACCTGAGATAGGTTTGGACCGATGAAACGGTATTGATGGAGGTGTTGGTAGTAGTGATTCCTTCCATTGTTGGGGGTGCTTTGGACATTTTGGTGGAATCAGAGGTGAGCAAAGAGTTGTAACTTGGTTTGGTTTCGGATGGAGGATGGCCAAAACCTGAACCATGATGCAGGGGATCAAATATTCAGTGTTCAATTCCTACTCGCGGTCTAGACTTCTCAGAGGGTTGTGGAAGTCCAAAGATTGATGTCAAACTAAATTTGTCTACACATTCTACACTCCATCTGACAGAACATTTGGTGACATGAACCGATCTGTTGGGGTGTTTTCTGTCGATTTCTGATCCGTCTCAGCCCCCGACCCTGCTACTTCGAGAAAACCAGTCCCCAAGCGACTGAGGTACTGTGTCCTGCCACACCTGCAACATCGAGCTTCAGCGGAGAGCACTGCAGAGGCGACAAGACCGTCAGACCGATCCGTCGATCCACTCGTAGAGCTCCGGAGCTCGGAGGTCGAACACAGAGTCGGTGCCCGTGCATGGGGAGGTTGGGCGACGCAACACCACCACCCCTTGGCACTGGAGGTGACTGCAAGACACACACGCATGCAGATGCGCATGCTTCAAGTTCGGCCTGCCGAACGGCCCAGGTGACCGTCAGCATCTTTACGGCGTCCGGTGAACAGAAAGCAGCCCAATTGGCCACGACAACGCTGAGCATGTTCCTTGGCCGAGCGTGTGGCTGCAGGACTCCGTGTCAGAATCGATACTGCAAACTGGGTTCCCAAAGCTTTGCTTCCACTTCCACTACTGTTGAGCCACGTCCAAGAATGCGCCAAGAGGCAGCATGTTGTTTTCTTTTCAAAAAGGCGGTAGAGCTACCAGTCAACCCTTCTATCTCGACTTGCTAAGAAGCTGTGGAACCAGCGGCTTGAGGCCTGACGTGCAGCCAATGATTCACATGGTTCGCGTTTGGTATGACTCGGAGCCGCCCGGTTTGGTCCACAGAGGCGAAGTTTGACTTTCTTGGACCGACCGGATGGAACTGAGGGACAAGCCCAGTGGCCCCCTCAAGCTCTCTCATGGATCTGAAGCATCGAAGGGGTCTGAAGCATTGAAGACCTAGATCTCAGACCAGTTTCCACCGAGTCGAGGCGATGTTCTTTTGGGGGGCGAAGAGCAAACTGTGTCACAAAGACACTATGTTGCACTTAAGTCATTTGAGAGCCACTGGAAGGGAACGTAGCACTGCTACTGCAACATGCTGCAAGTGCTTTCCAGATGCATGGATCTTGACATATCAACTCCTAGTACCCTGCAAAACGAAGCAACACCCTTGAACAATGCCAGGCATTCCGGCATTCCCTTCTCCCAACCGGGCAGGGGGTGAACCGACCTACAGCCGGCCGTGTGCCCTAGAAGCCAGAGCAGTAAACTGGATAGACCTACCATGTGGCTCTTGTCTAACTTGTGTCTTTGCCTTTTTGGCCACGGCGCCATCGTTTTCATATACTTTATAAGGAACAGACCCAGCACTGGTTTCTTTTCCAGACCAGCAGACCTCATCGCGGATTTGTTTTTTTGCCCCAGGAAGGGCCAGCTGGAGGTGTTCTTTGGGAGCGATGCAGTGACGCCTTGCTGCAGCTGCCAGCTGGACTTGAAGCACTTCTCTTTGGAGATGGGATGCTCCTATGTGGGGTCACTGGACAACAAGAAGCTGCCACCCAAAAATCAATCAAAAACAGAAAACACAAATTAAGCACTGGTTTCTGTATCCAGATGTTTTTTTAGGTGCTGAGTGTTTGCTGTGAAGGGGAGATCCTGAAACAGATGAGGTATAGTTCTCCAAGTTCTTGGCCAGATGGCCATGAGAACTGTGGAGGAAATGTGTGTTGGCACTCAGAACTGTTGGAGTTACGTACTTGTTTGCGAGCCCCCTACTCAAAGGATCTCAGAGGAAGGCACTGCAGCTCAGCCATGCTCGCTCATGCGCAGTCACAAGAGATTGGCTTCCACCAATCTTGGCTGGCTGAGAAGAAACCCGATTCCCGTTCCGGCTCAGCCATTTTTTCACTCAAATGTTAGCTCATGACAGCGTAATTCCAGAAAGTCCGCAGGCCATCCCTGAGGATGGCAGCTCCAGGCAGATGTCCAAACAGATGGAGGGGGATGGTGGCTTGAGGATTTGGTTCGCCCACCGCCTCCACCGAATCGAAGAGTGTGGGGAAGCCTCAGTGTCGTGCCCCTTGTGGTTCTACAGACGCCCACCTCATGCCTGTCATTCGAGCATTTGTTCCTTTATTTTTCTGATCATGGCATATTCCCTTTTCTTGCATGCCTCAGCGGTCCATGAGCTTTCAGTAAGCTACGGCCCTGCAGACCAGTGGAAGGAGATCGTCATTGACGACCGCCTCGCAGGGGTTTCTTTGGTGTCCTATGAGCTGCCAGCGACCTTCTTTGCCAACAGTCGTCACTTCATCGAAAGTCGACCTTCCGTCTTCAACGGGGTCCTCCAACAATACAGCTGCAGTGGAGCCACCCAACGGTCCGATGCGGAACTGCGGCGTGGCTCGGGGGATCCCGCGTTTCACCAGCTCATTCAGGGCTTGGATCACTTCACGCCATGCGGCTTAGTGTCAATGTCAGTTTTCACTGATCAATTCAGGCTGACGGAGACCCTTTCCGGAGTGGTGGTACCCTTGGATGAATCCAACTTAGCGTGGTCCTCCGACTCCGACATTTACAAAGATTGGATAGTGGAGACCAGTGGATCTGAGCACCTGGAGGTGGAAGGCATTCGCAGCTGGGTTCCAGATCGCACCTTCTTTGAGCACCTCATGGTTTGGTACAGAACACCTGCCTCTCCTTCTTTGCGGAATTTATGGGCGCGCATTCCCGGCGGCCTTCCGGCAGGAAGCTACAACTTGTCCTTTCCGGTGAACAGTCCCATTTGGCCAGAGTGGGGCCTGGAAAGCAAGCGAGTGGTCTTCTCTCAAGCCTCCACCTTCAGCCAGCTGGGCAGTCCTGGAGCTTCCTTCTGCCTCGCGGCCGTGTGCTGCGTCGTGGCCGGCGTGGACTTCCTGGCGGCGCTGGTCCTGCTGATCGCCGCGCCGCGGAAGGCCCGCAAGGCGGCGGTGCACCCGGAGTGAAGTGAAAGCAAAAAGGAGAGATCTGCGGAGTGCAGCGAGGAGAGATGTGCTTGGACATATGTCGTCGTCGGCATTTGGTAGGCGGAAGCACTGTAACGATCTAGAGCATTATCTAGACGATGGTTGAAAGGAACGCGTAAATTTAGCTTTGAAGCAAAGTCTACATAAGTCTTCATTGAATCCCAGGGCATCTTGATCTGAGAGGTTTATCAATGAGAACCCCCCTGTCCAATTCCACGGCTTCGACTAGGCTTCGACTAGACCGATCCCTGGTCAGTGTTCACCCGACCCAGCCGAGGTTGTGCTGCCTGCCCTTGGAGTTGGCCCACAACGAGCCTTTCGTGCGGATCATGACCTGGAGACATCAGACCAAAGAGAGGTGCCGAAAGCGCGGCGCATCCCGCGCGGTGATTACCGGACGACCGTCGTGTCGAGACGGGTCGTTGCTTCGGGGGTGAAGGACGAAACCGGGCTGTGGGTACGTCGTTTTGGAGCTGAAAAGCCTGCAGACTTTGTGAGACTTGACTGGGTTCAGGCAAATATCGTAGCTCATAAAAAGAACGTTGAACAATATACCGTGTTTTTTGCGTTTCTTGTTTTTGTTAGTTATACCGGGTTCTTCAAAAACACAGCCATCCCATCACATGTCCAAGTGGAGCAAGCAAACCCCCTCGAACCCCCAACTTCAATGTTGGCATGCACTTGTCCGCAAGTCAAACCAATAACATGGCCTGTTTTTTTGGCCTCGCGACTCGCGACGAACAGGAAAACACAACAGTGGTCTGAACAGGGGGTCCGGGGGCGTGGAGAAGGTCTTCGAAGGGTTCACAAATAGACATGCTGTTTTGTTTTTATTTAGAACCCGGTAGATGCGTAACTTCACTATCCGGCCTGAATATACATGTCGATCAATAGTCGGTGGATTCTGCGGAGCGATTCCTGCTACTAGCACGAGTTGAAGGAACTGGCACGAGCCTTAGGCGAAAGTCTGTTGAAGGCGAATGATATATATCTTGGCTTAGGTTTGAACATTCGGCCTGAAGGTGTGATGTTTAGTGCTGAACATTGGATGATCAAAAGCCTGAGCCCAAACTGGATGGCATGTCGTCCACGCCATCTTTGTGTCAAACAAAGCACAGATTCTTGGGCAAATTGGAGAGTGCTTGGCATGGTCAAGCAGTCGTGCTAGCAAATGCGGTGTATGCATGCACTGTTACATAATATATATAGATTGTCGAAGGATGACTCCCGTCATTTTACCCCTTGGTTCGTTCCAAATACAGTCTGTACATAGATCGGTATAGTATTGTAGTTTGATGCAGTTTGTATTGTCTAAAAAACTGACCCAGCATGCTCCCACCCCGCCCGTGACGGTGTCAACCAGTGTCAACCAGTGTCGATCTGCGACTCGTTTGGGAAGGTTGGACTTTGAAGAACAGACCGCCATGGTGACCTTCTCCGATTTGACCTTGAGCTACCAGGCGCAAAACGACCTGAGTGGACCAGTGACGTGTCCGAGTTTTGGAAGCAGAATGGCGGGAGTCCGGTAAGTACTCGGCACTTGGATGGTTTTCTTGGCATTCAGAGTATGGACACATAGCTTCAGCTTGAGTTTCATCATGTGGTTTCAGTCCAAGCGAAGCTCACATATGCACAATATCAGGATCCAATTTCCTATTACTGACCGAGCCATTGTAGGTGTAATAAATGGATGCCAAACTCTTCTATGAGTATCCCCGGTGAATGCTCATCTATAACTATGCCATACTATGCCAACCATTTGACTATAGTATATACTGTATATGTAATTGTAAAGAACGTGTTGGTCCCTAATTTTATAGAGAGGCTGAAAAGGTTGTCTTACAGTTTTGAGTGAAACAACCTTACTGGATGATACAAATTGTAAATTTCTGCTGCAGATGACCATTCCGGCTGTAGTCAGAGCTTGTTGTTTTGGAGGTTGGGATATGTGACACTCCTATACTCACTACATGGAAGTGGATGGCACCCCCTGTTCGTAGAGGAAAGTAGTCTTCCAAAAAACATCAAGGGACCATGCCATCCACTTCCATGTTAGTGAGTATAGGAGTGTCACATATCCCAACGTTCGGCCCGGTGATCCCCTGGATCTCCTGGGATCCCGGCCACCCCATGACGCAAACCCAGACGCTCCATGACACGAACCCTTCGTGACCGACAGTGGGACGACTGCCCACAATTTCTTTTCAGATCTGTTCGAACAGGTCACGGTCACTGAAGGTCCTGAAGTGTTGGAAAACATGTCGGAGATGTCCATAACAGATTGGGCGCTGAACACGTGGGTCTACTCATGATGCCGTTGCTGGGAGGCCCCTGCCCTATCATGCCCTAGCCACCGTATCATTGCATCATCATGTACATTGTACATACCATTCAATATGCCCAACTGTGTGCACTCGTCTCACACCTACCGGGCAAACCAGATCTTCAACCCTTCGCGAGTGAACACACTCCCTGCCGCGCATTGAGGCGGCAGGCATTCGGTCTCATAGCCACATGACGATGGTTTGGGGTCAAAAACACCTTCTGACCAAAAGTGAGCAGCCAGCAGTGAGCAGCGCCGAGAACTGACGGCAATGTGTTTCTCGCCCACACGACGCATGGAGTGACCGCAGGTTCCCTGGCCTTTGCCTTTGATCATCACACAGAGCTGCTTGCAGAGGCCGGACCGTGGCAGTCTCGGGTGTGAGCAGGGACCGAGATAAGAGTGATATGATAGTAACACACATGCCGCTGTGGTTCCAGGACCACAGGGCGTTTGAGTGGGTCTGGTTTAGTTTCTGTGTGTCGCTGTCATAGGTGGTGTTCTTTCTTTAGTGTTCGGAAGGTGAGAGGTGGCTATTGGAATCTATCGGATTGCTGCCTGTTTGCCCTGAAACTGCATGCGTTGCGGGAGAACTTGTATTTCCGCTGTGAAGCAGCAAATGCTCTCCCAAGTGTAAGTACTAAACTCCCTGAGAGTAGGAAGCTGACCATTCTCTCATGTTCCTGTTTGCCCATTCATAGTGGTTTTCACAGACTCTCCGCAGTCGTTCGCAGCTTCTGCAAGGTACAATCGCTTCTTCCAGCAGCTTCTCACCTACCGCCGCACAGCTCTGGATTTGCAGCGCTTCCGCCTCGATGGTACTTCCTCGGTGGAAACTGCACGGGCTCGATGGGCCTTCAAAGCGCAGCTGCAGTTCTTCTGGTCGCAGGCGGCTCGCTTTCACCGGGCGCGTCTGAACCTTTGTTGCGGTGTTGGTGGTTGTGGGGGTTATGGTGGTGGGAGTGGGGGTTATCGTGGTGGAATGTTTTTGGTTAGAATATTGTGGGATGATCTTTTCGTAAAGTGAGAACCGTCAAGGCCCTCATCAATGGTCGCCTGCCAACTGCAAGCTTGAACAACCGATGTTCCCGTAACTGGTTTTTGGGAGTTGGAACCTCACCAATCAAAAGTAAGCACCACCATGTGTCAATTCCCAAGCATTGTTATAGTCTGACTGTGACTATGCTTACGACATGCAGGTAAACGACATACCCAGACACCCCATGGGACTGGCATATTTACCGATCAGTTGGGGTGGTTGACTTGGGGTCAATGTAGGCATATATGCCATACATGGAGTGTTTGTGATTCATTGAATTCATGTCTCCAAGCCACCTGGAATGTCATCGCCACATTTGACAGGTTCTGCAGTACTTCCTTCAGGCGCGCGTGATGCCGTCAGCGGTCACCGTGGTTTGAGTCATTCGCAGTGAAGATGGTACGCTGTCTTGACCGATGGAAAAAAAAGAAAACACAATTGAATTGACTACTGTAGCAAGTCTTTTTTGTGTCATCTCAAGTGGCACAGGAGTTGATCAGGAGGGTTGGGCTGGGGAAGGTGCTGAATGACAGACTTGGAGATGAAGCAAGGCCCCGTGAAGTGGTTTCCTGTCAAGATTTTGCTACACCCCGAGGATTCACCTGTGGTTTCGACCATTTTCCTCTACCTATAGTATATATAGGGGGTCCATGTAGTCCTCTGCAGGAGGGGTACTTGATGCTACTTGTGTATAGGGGCATCATTTATCTCTTATCATGTGTCGGATGCGCTTGGTTTGTTGTTTATTTGTTGTTTACTGTAAGTACATCGAATGACGACCCTGTAGAACATCACTGACCCCCCCGTATTGTGTAACCTGGGTGTCAACACACAATTATTCAAACTCCTTTCCTACAGCCTGCCATTTGTAGAGAAAGAACGTTCATCATCCCTTCCTCCTCCGTTCACCCGTTTGTTTGCACGAACACCTCGCCGCCAAACCAACGCCGGCAGGACGTGGTTGAAGCTTCGCACCAGAAGTTGATGGATGCCGTGGCCGCGTCCCAAACCTTCGACGAGGTGACTCGCGCTCACGAGGAGTTCATGTGACTGGGACACACAGCCTCAACGCCGCGAACGCGATGGGACCGCCAGACCGAACTCGGTTCGAATCTCGATGGAGGATCGCCTCTGTCTGGTCAGATATATGTCACAGATGAGAGTGAACAGGTCAATTGTTGCATGTTGCCACGCTTTTCGCACGTCCAAGTGGGGGCCGTGAAGTGAACCATGCCCGAAACGCCCGCCAGTGGCCGCTCATTGGGATTCGACGGTCGGATGAGAGCGGGGACAGAAAAAGCATCCATGTCATCCACATCCATGAGGACATTGGATATAACCGGTATATACCGCGGTGTATGTTGGAGGTTTGGCTTGCGGAAACCTCGCTTGTTTGTTCGTAGGCTCGTAGGGCACAGTTCTTCTAAAGCGATATATATGTTGCTGAGCATTGTTGGTGGGAAGCTTTTTGGGTCAAACCGGTTGACACCAGTTGCGTGCCGCTTCCAGTGAATGTTCCATTCTCCCTGGGGTGAATCCTTCTTTGGTGTATAAAATATCCCCAGATCTTTCTTTCAGCACATGGTGATCAGAGTTGTTTGGGCCAACTTCTAACCCGCTGCAACTCGTCATCCTGTAGCTCGCCATACCCAGACCATCCATGTCTGGAATAGTTACATACACTAACCGCATGTATGACCCCTCCATCTAAGTAACTTCTCCATACATGGATGGTCTGACATAGCTGATAGCACCACAGCTCCAACGGCACCAGCTCTCCATGCTGACAGCGCTCCGCTGACAACAGCACCGCTCCGCGGTCGTCCAGTTGATCGAGGTCGACGGTCAGCACTCATCTCTTCTTGAAGGCTCCAGAACTGCACAAGGACCGACTGAAGCGGGAAGCGTTTTTCCTGAGTTATGTATATTTCTAGAAGTTTCTATAGTATATACTTACAATATTATATAGTGTTTTTGAGGTCGTATCTCAGGATGTATATAGAAGCGAAGCGTTTTTTCCTATTTAATAAAGCCCATATGATTTCTGACGGTTTTCTGGGTGAGAACCGGGCGCACTGGGCGCATCCGCCGCCGCGGGTTCTTCAAGGAGCGAACCACAAGGTCGCCCGGTGATGTTGTGAACCCAGCTTTTGACGGTGCTCCTTTTTTTCTTTGGTGTGTGAGTCTTTTTGTTGTTGACATGTTTGGATGACCAAATGGGTGGCTAGATGGAGTTCAAAGGCTTCCGGATTTGGGCTTTGGGCTTCTGATATGGAACCCTTCGGATGAGTTAGTTGGTGCAAATGATGGATCCCAACTCTTCTGGTGTTGGGATTCCTGATCCAAAACTGCAGTGCTGCCAAGTTTGGGAAGGTGTGAATACCAAGTTGAAGGCGTAGCTTAATTATTAGATAGAGATGCCTGGGACCAAGCTGGGCCAAGCTGCTGTACATGTTGAAGGAAACATACTTCACATTCACATGTGGCATACCCCAGTGTTTAGGATGTTTTGGGGATTCCACGTGCAGGATCTTTTCACCAGGAGGGACTGCATACACAGGTAGATTGATGGCTTCATGGCTTAATGTCTTGATTTGTCCAGCTGAGGATATATAGATGTATACCAATAGATAGATTGGTGGAGAGATGAGTAGGTAGGAAGCTAGATAGCTGAGATGTATAGGTAGTCTCTGGGAAGTGTAGAGTCTCGAGACATAGCTATACCGTTCTACCTAACCTCGTCCGTAGATAACACCTTGAACCTTTGTAGAGAATCAGAAACATGGTTTCAGTATGGGTAGATACATAGGTACGTATGTCGGTAGTAGGTGGGAAGGTATACCCAGACATTCCGTGGGACAGGAATATATGTCTATATTGACCACCCAAACCTCCCTAACTGATCGGCATAGTATGGCAGTGCCAAACAGGTGGTGTTTGGGATTGATACGTTGCTGGTCTCGAAGCTTCGCACTTGCATCACTTGCTTTCGCATTGCTTTCGCACTTGCTTCGCATTGTTTGAAGCGGTTTTAGGAGCTGGCAAATGCCCTGCGCATTGCCAATGTCTTCCGGCAAGTTGCAGCTCAGGGTGACAGCGGAGCGCCGCTGAAGCGTATGCAGGAGGAGTTCGTGGAGTCGGTGCCTGGGATGGTTTCATCGTGTTGATCTCAAACGGGATTTTGCCCACAAACCTTCCATGGGACTGGAATAACGGTACATACCATTTCTACCCCATGTATGACCCCCCATAGCCTTATGACCCCTCATGCAGGTCACTGTTGTTTAATCCCTTGGTTTTTTCTTCGGGTCCGAGTTTCAGGTCCGAGCTTGAGTGATTAGTGGGTTGTTTGACGAATCCATGAACCTCCGGAAGTCAATAGGCGAGTCAATCACCCTAGGTCATGAGCTCCAGACGACCGATACAACTCTTCACATGGGCGGAAGGAAGATCAACCCAAGACCCGGGGTTCCTTTGTTTTTCTTGGGGAGGGTTGAGATGTTTGGAATATGTATAATATATTTCATAGCCATCCGAAGACCAGTGATCGGAGTGTTTGGGGGCCATCGCCATGCGGTCGGGCCGCCGAAGGGTTGGGGGTCTATGAGGTTTGCTTCCCTTAGAGATCCTTAGAGGCTGAAGGGTCTAAACACCATCACCTCTCACGCGTCCTGAGAGTGTTTAACATGGGTTCCCAATCAGCCACAATGGTCAAACTGAAGGACAGGTCTCATGCACTTGACATACACTCTTCAGTTGCTCAGGTCAAGGCGGTCATCTCCATGATGCAGAGTGACCTGGCAACATCTCGCCGGTGTCGTGGAAAGCCGCTGGTGTACAGTGGAACATCAGGTTCACAGGGTCTGGAAGAACACAAACGAGTTGTAAACACGGAAAAACATGAGTTTGATTACCGAGCAATAGTCCCAGATGAAGCCTGGCAGAAGATAGGAACATTACTGACAACTAGGAACCCTTTTGGTGACGGAGATTCGCTGCGAAGCCAGACACTCCAAAGCCAGACACGACCCATGGGACTGGCATATACATACATTGGGGTGGTTGAAAAAGGATGAAAACGGGGTGAATGTGTAGGTTATGTATTGTATGAGTAAATATGTCATGGATAATCTGGGAGAACTCCCAGGCATCCACCGACACGGCCGAGTGATGCCTTTGCTGGAGCAGCTTTTAGCACGCCTGGAGTACAACGGCTATTTCGAGACGGAGTCCCTCCTCAGCTAGGCCCCATGTGTGAGTTCTATTGAGTTCTTATTGTTTTAGTCGACGACCATTGGGCATCATTGGGCCATGCTGACACAGGACATCAGGGTTTCCACATACTACTCACACACACACACATGTCGTGGACAAGGAAAGAATCGTGAGGGAAGTTCCTCCCTCATTTGGATCTCAACAAATATGCTTTTGTTTCTTGTTTTGAAGCTAATGATGCTCTTCCTAGCGATCCGACAGGCCGAACTCAACTGCGAAGGCTTCTCCCTGGAAGGAGAACTGGGGATTCCGAACTCCCGTGGGTCAAGTGCTGCTGTGAACTGGAGTCTGAAGATTCTGAGCAAAACTTGGGAGAGCCTGGAAGCCAACGTAAGCCACATCGATCATCGTCCCAGCACCGTGCCGCCGTGCCCGTGCCCCGTTGTGTTGGTTTTTTGACTTGTCGGACTTCCCGACTTCACGACCTGTGGATCTCCATTGAACACCCCGACATGAAGGTCCAGATCTGTTCCATGCGTCATCTATTTCTCTTCCTTTTCTACCCTAGACTCTGGGCATCGATAGTCAAATGGTTGATCTTCTTTTGTACCTTCTAAAGGGTTAACTTTGAGGATTCCGGAGGAAAGCCGGAGTCCGTTCGGAGCCGTGAAAAGCAAAGACTTCGTGGTCACATGTGCACTTCAAAGCCAAGCAGTTGAGTAGGGCATGCTGTTGGAAGTGGCAAATTCAGCTGCTTTGTGTTTGGTGTTTTGTGGAAGGCAAAGGAAGTCGATGTTACGCTGCACAAAGCGCACAAGGCAGGACATGTGTTTTGATATGTCTCGATCATTATCGATCAAGTTCAAGAGAGGTCAAGGGAAACAATATCACTGTATTTCAGCCTCGCTGTCAACTGAACGAAAGAAACACAAGCTGATGAATTGCATAGTCAGCACGAAGAATCTCGTTGATCGGCTGGACACCGTCAACCGTCCCACCCCATCCATGTTGCCAGCTATATGTTAATGTTATATAGCTTAGCACATGTGGTTGATGAGTTTTCTCCAATATGTCTTAACTGAGTCTCTTGACCGTTTATACACTGGAATCAGGCACCTGTATATTGTTTAATATTGACCGATTTGTTGCAGTTGAGGGTGAAGCAGTGGCAAAGTAGGCATGCCAGGCATGCCAGGCATACAAGATTATATACCTGCACATGTTTTTCCTTCAGCCTGCCTGTGAGGCTGACGAACGCATGAAGGAGATGGAGATATTGAATGAACATGCCGTGTGACAGCACTTGCAATCAGAACTGCAGCATTTGCAAGCATTTGCAAGCAAGGCAGCTGCAAGAGGACCTGCAGCAGCTGGAAAACCGCGGCAAGTGCAGAAAGTTACTTTCATCATGCAGGGCGTGCTTCTGTACCTTGCGATCATGCTGGCGTTTGCCACGCCATGGCATCCACCAGTCTTTTTGAGCAAACATGTGACACTGTGCCGGCGACATCTGTCGTTTTCAATATGTGACACGATGGGTGCCATGTGTTTCGATCGCGAGACCGACCCCCACGCTGGACGCTGGAAAACGTGACGTGACCGGCACGACGACTGGGTTCCAGTTGGTTGACATGTCATCCTGTCATGGATGGTTTGGGTGGCTGTATCATGTGAAAGGGTAGCTATTTTTTCGTCTCATGGGATGGTTTGGGTGGTCGTTGGTGATCAAAGGATTTGGAAGCAGCATGGGGTGTTTCTCGATCACTGGGTGATTCTCAGGCACCCGTCAGCTGCGGCTATAAAGGGGCAACTACTTCAAGATCTAAGAATATAAGGTGACCGATAGATCAGGAGAGTCAACTGAAGGGGAGATTCCTGCTAGGGTTTGTTGTGCTGGTGATGTATCATTTCAGGGGTGCTTAAGCACAGCAATAGAAGGGATGGTTTGAAGACCTGGTTTTGTAAGCTTAGATACGCAACAGCGAAAAGCTAGACCTTTTAAGGTTTGTCTATGTTTTGTCTCGTAGTGGCAACCCAATGATAAATAACCAACCAGAGCGGCTCTAGATGCTCTACAAGGTTTTTAGGGGGATAGTTTCTCCTTGGTTGACATTACCCAGACGCTTATATGCCTACATTGGGGTGGTTTGAGTGTCCGTTTTTCATGTTCTTCGTCCTATGAGGTCGGAATCATGATGCTCCCGTGCGTTCAGCACCTGCGGTTCTTCTTTGGCCACTGGGGTCAGCCACTGCCATGTCTTGGTCTTGCACAGAGCAGCTCGGTCTGCCGTGATGCACCCTGTTTCGTTGTTTATACTTGTTTTGTGTGAGTCCTTACAGCAATCGCCAATCGCAGCTTTTACCAAATCCTCACGATGTTGATAGCATGGTTTTGAGGCTCTGAGAGTTTGAGACTTCTTTTGTTCTGGATCAAATGCCGTGGCACTTGGCATTTTCGACTGGTCGCCCATCAAACTCTTCAGATTATGGCAGAAATCTTTGTTTGGAGTCAGAGCTTCTTTTGGATTCCTTCATCATCAACCACTCGCTACTTTGGAATCACAAAGAGTCAGAGTTCTGAACCATCTGGGCGGAGGTGGGCACCCGCCAGGACTCGAGCTGGGCTTGGTCTATGACCTTGTAGCCTTCTTGTTTCTCTCCTCGGTGAAGCTTCTGATCCTCATGCGCCTCACTCCAAAGGTCGGTGGTCAGTCGGCCGAGTTGGGGGTGGTTGTGGAAGCTCCAAACAGATTGACTCAACAGTCAATCCGAAAAGTGAACCGAGTGACCCCAGGCTGGCACCCCTTGGCACAACTGGGATTTCTCCTCAGACGAAGGACGACACAAGAAGCGAGAACGCCGATTCTCGCGAGAACGCCTGGGAGAAATATCGATCCCAGACCAGACGAATGGGGCTCGAATACATTATTTATCATTATGTAATCCATATTAACCCCTGTTATGATCCTAATTCAGGTACCTATTCCATACTTGGTGGACATAAAGGGTCAGAGGGTTTGATTTTGGCTCCTTTTAGTTTGGACCAGTGGCTTATCAGGTCCGGCCGGGAACGCTTCTATGACGCCTTCCAAGGACCTCTACAAAGGAACAGCGGCGAAACTCTACCAGTTTCGAGACAATGAACCTGTAGAGAAAGAGCCCGTAAATGAGCCCGTTGTATTGTTTAAAGATGTCCTTGGTTTCTTGTGAAGCGATCAAACAATTGAGGTACTTCCTCTTTGAGCAGGCTTACATCATGCACCTAGACTGCACGAAGACTACGTGTGGGAGAAAAGTATGCAAGATTCATGTCCCAAGAATTGGTGTTGGCCTTTGCTGGTGCATCATGTGGTTGGTATTTTGGTTGCACCAAACCATCCTCAGTCTCCTGCAGCAATGCACCAGATTGTTGGTCTTGGCGGATCATGTCATATATAATTCATGGCTCGCATCAGATCTGTCATCTAATACTTGCAGACATATCATAGATGGGCTTGATCACCACAAGCACCTACATGTGTGTTTTTTCTTTGTGGAACAATCTGTGCGACTTGATACCCCAAAGCACTGTGCAGTGGTTCGCTTTACATGGGTTTGATAGTTGCACAGTCCTGGTGCCATGGTAACTCAACTAATCGCGTTATTGGTTTCTTCTTTGTCTCTGTGTGTGTGTGTTTTTTATTTTTTAGAATCTCTTTTGGGTACCTCCATCTCCTTCGTTGCAGATATTCCTTGCTTCATGTACCTAATCTCCATATCGCTCGCAGTGTCCGCGGTCTTTTTGTTCTATTGTTTGTGCTTGCACTCGCAAGATCAAACATGTATCATGTACGAACAGAACATATTCTCTTGGGTCTGTCCTGTTACCTCTAACATGCAGTCGGTAAACAATTTGAACAAGGCCCTAACTAACCATCATCATCCACTGGGCCCTGGTCATGGGATAGACCCAAGATGTATCATGTTACGTACAGAACTCCTGGATCGCTCCGTACGTATCGTTTCTGCAGGGTTCATGTGCCCGACCCATGATCCTTCCTTCTCATGTGACCCACTGATCCGAAGCTGAGCTTCACATCCCTGGCAGCCGAAGCGGGGTCCGAACCGGGGTCCGAACCGGGGTCCGGAGGGTTGGAGGGAGAAATCGGGCCCTAACAGGTCGAACGAGAACATGCCGTCCGAACATGCCGTCCCTCAAAGCACTTGAAATGAACATGCAATGAGCTTGCGTTAAAAGAAACCAAAAACACATAAAACACATAAGATGCTTCCAACGAATCACCAATGGACAACCCTACACTGCTTATAGGTCTCCATTGGGCACCCATTGCTAGGTATGAGATGCTTCATTTCTTGCTGCATTTCCCGGACCGATGTCCTCTCTGTCGACCAGTTCCTCTCGGTTCCTCTCGCTTCAGGCGACTAGATGTGAGATTCTTGACCATGGCCGTGGCCGCCGTGGTGGTGGAAAGCGTTTGCGGGCGCGGAGACTGAGACTGGGTGGTGAAACCGGTGTCCTGGGGTGTGGGGAGGAAGAGATCTGGTGATTCAGTGCTAAAAAGTGTAGGAGGTGGGCGGTGTGATGGTGGTGTATAATTCTGTTCAGTCTTGATTAATAAGCCCCCCAGGGTTGTTCAATCTAAAAGGGGGGGTTATGAGTCAAGAGTCTATACATGACAGACAGTAGATATAGTATAGTGCTGAACAACATGCCCAGGTGGATCACTACCAGCAGATAATGGGGTGCTGACTTGCTGGTGAGAGTTTCAGCCACTGGGTATGACGAGTAGCTTACAACGCATGCGAAAAGGCACCAAGGATTACAACGAGGAATCTATAACAGGGGAGTTGTTTGGATTTCTGCCATGACCCCAGCTAGGTCTATCCTGCCCGGATGGTTCCTGGCACGAGCACCCCGTTTGGCGCGCCCATGTTGCACGCCAGAATCATCAATGTGCTCCAAACCATGAAGCTTGCCACGCTGAACGTCACAGAGACGATCCTCCTTTTGGCGGGGGCGCGTCGGAAGCGTTGCTTCGTTTTGGTCCTCCGTCACCAGCGAACCGGACGTGGTTGAGCGGACCTGGTGTCGGTCGTTCGCTGATGGATGGTGGATGGATGGAGGGCTCCAGGTGGGTCACGACATGTCACGACCCAGCGGTGCTTTTGATTGTGGATGCCACTGCCATCCTCTGAGAGGGTGATGTGTTCGACACTGTTGGGACGGCCAGGAGGGCCCAGTCGTATCTTCTGAGAAGCTATGTTGTTACCTAGGGAGTCATGTCCAGGGACTCGCTATAGGGATGTTGGACTCACAAGGTTCACCGAAACTCACCAGCGCACCAGGGAGTTGAGTGATTTGTACACAACCAGTATTGTCATGTTCACACTTTTTTGAACTGGGATGATTCTGATGATTCGCTTTTCAGCAAAACAAAGGCATCATTAATGTAATTATATAATGGTGCGATAAACCGTTGCCAGGGCTATAGATTAGACTATGTGTCCTTCTTGGCGCCAAGACATGTCGTTGTCGTCCGTGCATTGATTCGGATATGCAAGAGCAAGCCAAGGTGTCCCTTTTAAGAAGTCACAAAGTCTCAAACTAGTCTTTGAGGGTCTTTCAAGAAAAGACACAACATATTATATCATAATATTGCACCTCTCGAGGCATTGTCATCCCGCCAAACCAACAAATCATCTAAATCGCACCATCAATCTTGATCCATGCATAGCCAATCGCACCGAATCTTGTCCGAGTCTTGTCCTGGCTCCGCTGGTCTCCCGGGTCTTCGTCGTGTCTGCTTGCCACGACGCCAGGCTTCCGTGGTCTCGGTGCTCACCGTCGCATCGGCCGCGGGGGCCCGGTACATCCCATCGGCCGTGGAGCGGTCCCGGGACCGGGAGGGAGGGAATATGCGGGGAGGGAAGGAACCACCACAGCGTTGGTTGAAAAACCACGAAGCCGAAGAAGTCACCGAAAACACCACCACCTGTCGACTGGCTTTGGTGTCCTGGCTTTGGCCTGTAACTGGGCTTTTCTTGGCCTTTGGAAACTTGGGACAATGTCAAGCCGAAGACTTGTCCAGCCGTGTTCTTTCAGCCCTTTCTGAACCTGATGTTCTTCGAGTGAGACATGGCACCCTCCAGTCCATTCTAGCAAAAACATGCAAAAACTCTGTTCTATATTCCGAGTGTGACCTCAGTTGTCATCACCTGGAGGTCATGGACCACGGTGATGTTATGTCGTTGTTGCAACGCGACGATCTAATCATCCGGCCCCACGTACAGCTGGTGAAGATTGTCACCGGGGTCACAGGAGTCAGATACATACCATAGCCATTGACTGAGAACCCCAGGTGGATCCCTGTAGGGCTTGCATCACATCCTAAGGCATTTTTGGAGACTAACTGATTGCACACTTCTGACTTCTCCAATTCGGCGCGGCCCGTTTTTCTCCCGGCATCCTGACACTGTCGTGCTTTGGCACTCGTCCTCCCGACGCCAACAGCGCTGCTCAGTACTTCGTGGTGGAAGAGCTGCTGCCCAGCGAGGCCGGAAGAGTTGACGTGCCGGTCTATCTGATAGCAGTTGGTTTAGATCCGTTTACGGTTTCATGAGGCAACTATGGCGCCGAAATAGAGCACCCAAGCTTGTTAGATTGCTGACATATGACATATAGAAACTCTGACAAGAGCCTTCATTGTGAACACTGACACCGATGGGAAGAGTGACACGACCTTTGCCTTCACGTTAGTGCAATAGAAGACATACACATGCAAGACAAACTCGCTCAGCTTTGGTATGCAGCAAGCTGATGAACCTTGTTCCGTCAACCCACACTTTACGGAGGGTCTCCTATTTCCCCATCACGTGATGTAATTGATGTAATTACAACTGAACCCATTCCACCCTCATTTCCTGCCGAAGAAGCCAGCAGAAATATCCTGTCTCTTCACGACCATTCAACTATATTCAACTTGAGAGAAGAATCTCGCATGCGGCTGTGCAGTTAGGGAGACCACGAAAAGACCCCCCCTGTGTTCTAGGAACATAGGCCAAAAGCCAATTGGTTGGGGTGGTTTTTCCCTTAACATCCAAAAAAAAACAAGTACTATCTCCTCAGCACCGTTGTTCTCCAGATCCGGCCCGAGCTGGGCTACCTCTCGACCCTGACGGAGGCGTCGTGACAGACGAACCACGGATGACGGGACGGTGGGTCGGTCTCCGGCTCAACTCCCAGACACTCCATGCCAGATGGCCCTTTATGGGTCCAAATGGCACGCTTGTTGAGGATGATGTGTTCGACACATTGGTGTAGGCGCTATAGGAGGATCCAAATGACCTTCTTTCAGATTTATATAGAAAGGTTTGTGGATCCCCATAGGGGTGGGACTGGGTGATCAAGGGATCAATGGGGGGCGTGTTTGTCTACTTTGGGCGGGCACCAGGACCTCTGCCTGTAGAATGTCCAGGCCAGAGAGTTTCCCACAGAACCTGTTGCAGGAGCAAATCACCCACCAACTACTAAATTGACCCCCCCCCCTGAGCAGCACTCTTTTGGAGTGTTTCTGTGGCCTTTTCCTTACGTTCGGAAGTGCTGGGAGTCGCATCGGGGCCTGTCCTAGCCCGAGGAAGTGCCCGTTCGGCGAACGTGCCAGTTACAAAGCCAGCGGCCTTGTCACCAATCAAAAATAAAGGGTCAACCAAATACAACGAGCCAGCCAGTCAACCAGCCACTCCTCTCCAGATGTCGGCTTCTTCCTGTGTATCGGTTGAACAGGTTCCAGAGCCTCGCCATCATCGCTGAGGGCTGTTTCCGACAAACACTGCCCCAGCTGCTGTGAGCGTTCTTGGCATGGAGGGACACAGAAGAGAGAAACAGCAATACAGGGCTCCTTGTCGATTTTCTTTTACGGACCATTTTTCCTGATACTGTACTGTATGTCTCTAAGTTGTTCGTGCGCGGAACTACTGGTGACCGGTGCCCAGCTAGGGTGGGAACCGGGTCCACTGAGGTAGCTGTGCAAGAAGATATTTAAGAACAAACTGGCCGAAACACATGAAACTCTTATTTGTGCAGAGCGGTAAGTTTACAGCAATGGGCATTTTGCGGTGTTAATACATGTCCTTGAAGCTATGTGTGCAATATGGAAGCCGTTCAACCAGAGCCCTGTCTAATTATCTTTGGGTACATCGCTTTTGTCCTCACATATTGCAATCAGCACTACAGCATGTTTCAATCTTCTTTTGCAACGCTCACATAGGCCGATTGGTGCTGGGTCCCGGCAGCGTTTCACTCAAACCGCCAAAGCTTCGGAGAGATCTGCGCGGTACCTCGCTCCATCCAAGCTCCATCGCTCGGTACTCTCGCCGAGGTTGGCGACTCCGCGAGTCGGTGGTAAATAGGGATCCCGACCCCCATTCGAACTCCCTGGCCAAAAGGGAACTAGGACCAAAACCCACTGGTTGGGGGTCTCTGTTAAAATACACACCCAAATCCACCGACTCAGAGAAAAAAAACAGACTCAGTCCTTCGTTCCATTCTTGGGGGGAGTTGACCGCTGACCGCTCCGGGTGTGCGTCCGTTCGTGAAGAAAGCGAGGAAAGAGGAGTCCTGGAGGTTGATTTGCGATGGAAAGGTCGGGAAAGAGGCGCAGTGTAGAGTCTAGCGAAGAGCACATCTCATTAGGAGGAGGACAACAGGGTAGGCTGAAGGGCTTCAGATACACTTTCAGCAAGTGTGGCATTTGCAGGGTTGCTTCATGTGGAGGGCCATACATGCCAATAATTATTGTCAGGTTTTCCATGGCTTGCAAACAAGCAACCACAAGGACCACAAGCAACCCTTAATTTACAGAACTTTGAGTGACTTGGAGCTACAAGTTTGACCATGCGTTTGCATTTGATGTGTTTCATCCATTGAAATAACCTGGAAGCGTGTTCATCGTGTGTGTATGCTCAAGAAGGAACGCTTTGACTTCGTTTTTGCTTTTTCATGGAGTGGTATTCCCAGATAGCAGTGGAGATTCATCCAACGGTGGGTTCTTGTTCCATCTTGTTCCCGCCAATCCAAGAAAACAGCTCTTCCCACAAGCTCTTCTTTGGTTTGTTTTATGTTGTTTGTTTTTTGGTACAGTGGTTCCAGAGTAGATGGTGCAATGTCTTTTACATGGGGATCTATACAAACCACCAACTTGTGGATGGTGCCATCTATTCTGAAACCACTGTATAATCCTGAACCTGTTTAAACTCACATGTTACAGACATATATCCGCCAGTGAGATAGCCTGTTGACACCGCCCGGACGATGTCCCGCATGTGCGGGCGGACGATGAATCCTCTTCGGATCCCCGAAAGAATTGTCTTCGGACACTCAACTCGTTGAGTTATTTGCTCTGTTTGGCCCCGTGCACAGCCCGTGTCTTGCAGAGGTTTGTTTTTGCAGGGTGTCTTGCAGACTATGTGGGATCGTTATTGTTCCAAGAAGACTCTCATACAGTGTATACCACCCAAAACAATGTAGAACATCAACATAGATCCCACTATTCACAGGTGTATTGATATCCCAAGTGGTGGAGTATTTATGATGATTGTATCCTTCAACAGTACGGATGGTATATGGCTTGAGTGGGGCAGAGTGTTTGATGGCTTGATGTGACTCTGCACCGTCGAATCAGGCCCAAACAAAGCAGTGACTGGGCCAAGCAGCAAAACACGCTGTTTTACAAATGGTGTATGATCACAGATGAAGGATTAGGGTTTAGGGTATTGTGCACCAAAGAGAGTGCTTGCACACGCAGGTCGCACCATGTAATACATGTCCAGAGAAATGACTGCTTCAGAAAGCGATGGCCTGTGAATCCGGGGAGATTGCCGTGTGATGGATGGTCACAGCTGTCAACCCCCCCCACGCGGTCGTTCACACAATGCTGGCAAAAGTAAAAGGCAAGCTCACAAGTTGTTGGGACCTGGACCTGGCTAGATACAGAAGAGCCTTCAACAGGTCTATGACCAATTGTTCACCTGGCCTGCTTGATAAACCTGACTGGAGAAGGAAAGAAGCACATTTCTTGAGCGTGGTGGACGAGTGTGATGGAGGTTGGGGGGCCCAGCCGTGAAGTGGAGGTGCTTTCGGGCTTATGATCCTTCTGGCTGTGGCGAGTCTTTGTTATGCGAACGACATGGCCCTCTGAGAGGCTGATGCGTTCAACACGGAGAGTGCCAGAGGAGCCGACAGAGCTGAAAGAGAAGGTATGTGGATTCCATTTTTTCTTACAGTGGTTTATATGGATCCCCATCCAGACATCTTGGGGGTTGTGCCATCTACTCTGAAACCACTCTAAACCATCTCCGAAGCCACCAGACAATCTTGATTCTGAGCTCGTTGCTGACGACCTGAGGACTGGAATACTTACATTGACCCCATGAAAAGGACCGATCCATGTACTGTAAGTATGGAATAGTAACCTCAGTTGGGTCCCTTTCATGGGGGTAAATGTAAGTACAGTAACTATCCCTACACCTCCAGTCGTACCTCCTCAGAAGGTATGTAGACCCTCCTGGCACCCGGGCCCCCAGTCCCACCGAACCTCAGGTTCGGTACGACGGTACGGCCGAACGGGTATTCCAGTCCACTGACTCCCCGGGCGGCAGAGCGGTGCCGCCGACGTCCGGTGGTTGAAGCGGTGACCAGGCATCTGCGAGAGGAGCACGGTGTTTTTTCGGTGGAGCTGGACAGGAGCCAAATGAGACAAATAATTACATGAAAAAACATGTGTTTTTGAGTGTAGGTACCTGGATCCACAAGAGAAATAAGAGAAACACTAATCCAACATGATAAAAGAAACGACAGCTTAGCATGGTTTTCGTGTTGCTGCTGGTGTCCAGCAGTTGTTGTGCCATTGGACTTTGGATGAATTGACACCTCTTGTATTTGATCCTGAACTAACCATTGGACCAATCGATGTCCAGTCCAAGGGCCTTCTTGCATCTCACTGTCCCCTAGACCAGCTGCAGCTGCCGCACTGCTCAGGGCCGTGGTGGGCGGAGCCGCAAAGATGACCTCCGCAGGCGTCCGCGTCTTGATCCACGAAGAACTGATGCGGGTAGACTCTACGGTGGACCTGTTGTTTGAACCCTGGCCGCCATGGAAACCAACAGGGGAACCCTGTGAGAGGTTGAGCCTGTTGGCCTTGTTGGGCCCGTTAGCCTTTTTGGTCCCGTTGGCCTTTTTGGGTCTGTTGGCCTTGTTGGCCTGCTTGAAGTGAAGATCCTTTTCCTTTTGCAGGGAAACACACATGAGATACATGAGCAGCTCGCAGTCCTCCCGCTGTTCTTCTCCTCTCTACAGGCCACGTGCCACCGCCGGCCGTGGACGAAAAGACTACAAGCAGGAGGTGAAGGACAAGGACTATGATAGGCGCGGCAGCAGCGAATGAGGTTCCACAGCCAGATGTAGGTGTTGACTTGCAGGTGCAAGACTCCTGTGATGAATCTGATGGATGTTTCACATGCTATTGAAATCTAGTGCAGTTTAAATTAATGTGTCAGCAGCCGTAATCGAGGCGCGTGGTTCACTGTCAGAACTTTTTGTGATTGTGGGACGAAGATTGTCAGCTCATGTCCAGAATCTGTCCCTATACCTTGGGAGCCATCCTCGGGATGACTTGCCATGACTGACCTGCCATAAATAGAACTTGATCTACTCCAAGGATGTGATAGAACTGTGATAGATTCTGATAGATGCTTGGAGAAGAGCCTCTTAATGTCCTCTCGGAGTGTAGGCCTTCTCATTCGCCACGAGCTTTCCGCCACCCCAGGAATGCGCCCATGTACGACAACCCCTCCTCGGTTCGGGCACCGGTTGTGCGAGACATCCTTGACCTCCGGCGAGTCCGGGTGTGGCGGCGGTTCGGATGGGTTCGTTTCGTTCGGTCGCAGTGACGGATATCCGTCCTTAAGTTGGATCTCTAAGATCATGTAGACTCAATGTAGACTACTTACTGTAGATGTCCAAGTTGAATATCAAAGATGTCCAACATGTTCGACTCTTCATGTTTCATCCATTGGTTCCGGCAGTGCCCCTTGGGTTTTCCCCCTTGTGTTTCATGATTAATCAATATCCATTTGGATTGAACATGCTATTCATATGGGACACGCACGTACGGATTTTGGTCTGTCTCCGTGGCAACTCTGTCCCGTTGTTAATCAAGGGTTGATGATGTGAGAGTTCCTAAGAGCTGGCCGTCGTAACTGTAGCAACACTAGCTGCAGATGGTGCAGCAGAAGGAATCACATCATTGTCGATGACCACTAAATACCACTCGTACCTAGTGGTCAGAACATATAGCTGCCGACGGCTTATTCCCCCAAGCCACTTTCCAAGATCAGGGCGTGTGGCAGTACTTCTACTGGACCTTCTAAGAGGTGTCCAACGGAGAGTATTCGGCATGTACAAGGGCTTCCAGCCTGGTGACCCCGAATGGAAGGTGCTGGTACCTGAAGATACACTTACTCTCCCTGGAACTAACATGGAAGTGGATTTGAGTGGCAAATGGTCTTCCTTTCGGGGCCATTCTCCACTTCCATGTTAGTTCCAGGCAGTGTAAGACATGTCAAGCTCTTCCAACCTACAATAGCTTCCTAGGCTTCCAGTCGTACCTTCTGAGAAGGTGGGACTGGGGTGGGTGCCAAGAGGGTCTAAATACCTTCTGAGGAGGCACTTGGAGGTGTACGGCTTGTTTCCCCCGACGGATGATCCTCGTGCGTGTTGGCCGGAAACTTCCGCTTCGCTGCGGGCAACTTAGGCCTACGCACCCATGCATGAGCGTCGTCACAGGGAGGCCCGGGCTTTGCGTGGGGCTGTATCAAGGCGGAGCTCATTTGGAACAACAAATGCTATGCTACATTACTCTAGTAGCGTCCGATCGCTCCGTTCGTAGCGATGCCCTTTGCTCCTAGTAGCGAACATTGCTCCTAGTAGTAAGGCCAGGAGCCCCTAGTAAGCGTCCTTACTCCTAAAGCTTTGCAGACATGCAGGGAGGAATTCCTGTTTGTTCCAACTCTTAAGAGCATTGAATACTGAATGCACCATGACACCATGTCGATCGTTTCGCGTCCACATGTGGTCGACCAGGACCGTGACCGTGACCGTGGCCGGGCGACCGAGCGAGGGCCGCACTGGCACAGGGTCCGTGACAGGATGAGTGGCCATACCATCAAGTAGCTTAGCCCATGGCTTAGCCGTCTAGCAGCGGATCTGTTGTGAAAGACTCCATTTCCACTCCTTCCACCAAGGTACTGAATATTGTACGTTCAGGGCTTTGGTGATTCTTTTTGTAAACAAACATCATGATGTTCGATCACCAGCTGGTGGCGTCCAAAGCATGGACGCTGATGGTGTCCCAATGCTCAAATGTTTGATGCCTAGCACTGCAAGCTGTATGCGGCACCCGTGGGTATACAGTACCTTGGTGAAAGGAGTGGAAATGGAGTCCTTCAAGACAGATCCGCTGCTAGACGGCACCAATCAGCATCATATTCGATTGACTGACTAGTGCCCAGGACTGCATGATGATGGACAAGTGAGGGCATGCTGGCAACAGTAGGCGACGGGGCGCAAATTAATCATATAATATATATATATATAATTTATTTGTAAAGTCAGCAGAAGCGTGAGTTTAGCGGTAAGTTATGACAAGATCAGCATGTGACCAAACACATTTTTTCGCTTAGCTGAGTCAGCCCGAAAAAGCATGCACCGAACTGAGAAAACCAGGGGGATGCTTTTCGCTAAGGCTATGGCCGGGCTGTGGAAGTCTTTGAGCGGACCGCACGCCAGGCCTGCTTGGGTGGGGGGAACACCCTCGGTGAACTAGTGGGCCCAGCCACAGTAGTTGTCCCATGAATTCCCATGTAATTAGTAAAGTCAATTTGTTATGTCATACCTATTTATTTCTATAGCAAAAAACAAATATATATATATATATTTGTATTAGTATGTTTAGTATTCTGCGTGATATGTAATTAGTAATGTAGTCATGTAGTCATGTTCATGTTCATGTTCCAACCGACCGAAAACAAGTCTGGGGTCCCTCTCCATGTCAGACCGCTCCACGCAGGAGGTGCCTGTTCGGCGGCCGGTCCGGGTGCCCAACAGGGGGAGCGAAGCCATCGGGACGGGGTGCAGAGTCTCAAGAAGCTGCCGTGGATGGCCATTGGCGGGGACTGGAAGAGGCAGAATAGTTAGTTAGTTTTATGGATGGGTCATGAATCAAGGAGCTAAACTATTCCATAAATGGATGATTTGGGCTTTGAGATCATGCAAAGATGAGATGTTTACTCTGTAAACATGAACACCAATTGGTTTATGCACGGGCAGCAGAAGTTGAAGGTGCCCTCCTGCACAGATGGCCACGTTCCACAATCCATCATTTGACTGTTTGACTGAAAGCAATTTGACACCTGGCCATGTTGTTCCTTGTGGTTTTCTCAGGTACTCCAACAGGAGGTCACAGGCTCTATAGGTATATAGTCATGTTCATCTCGAGGAGAAAGATGGCACAGCTGATAGTCGAAAAGCAACCATCAAAGCCAACTTGGCCCATTTTGGTCGAATGGTCTTTCCACAGGTGTCGTCTACTTCCATGGTTGGCGGGTAGAGATCGCATTGCAGTGAGAGTTCCTCAGGTTGATCATCAGTTCGCTCTTTAAAGGGTCTTCCCTCACCCTAATGATCAACCTGAGGACATCTCATACCTGAGACCTTAAGGCTTCCAAGTCTCAGTTTGCTCTTTAGGGTCTCCTGTCACTGGTCGCCACCTCCGCCTGCTGGCCTGCTGGCGGCCGTTCAGGAGCCCATGGAGACTTCAGCGGTGCGTGAGAGCCTTACTGGCCCCCGCCAAAGCATATCCCAGACGTGATCCATGGGACTGCCATGTATGCCTACATTGACCCCCAAACCACCCCAATGTAGGTATATATATATATATATGCCATACATGGAGTGTCTGGGTAACTGGCGAAATACAGAATAGTCATACGTATAGTCTTTGGGCAGAGATGCAGTAGTAGAGATATTATCATGAGTGGGTTTCTTTGACAAATCTCCCACCGCTTTTTGGCCTTTTGGGGGCCTAAGCCTCTGTGGAGGCCTAAGCCTCTGTTGGACAGGATGTTTTATGACTCTATGCCCCATTCGTGAATCTTATCGTAGTTTCTGGGGATGTTTGACTGTTGCGCTGTCGTAGTGGTTGTTTCATCAGTCGGTACAAGAAGCTCTGGCTTAGGCACACACCCTTCATCCAGAATCTTCACACAACAAAACGTCACAGTGAGACAGTGAGTTCAAGGTGCATTGTGCATCACAGTGGTGCTTTGAGCAGGTCCTCGTGGAGACTCACTGTGAGGATGATTAAGCTTGCTGTGTGGGCTGACAAGTAGCAGGGACATGGGCTGGTGCGGTTGTCATGTGCAGGAAAGCCATGAATCAAATTTGCTTGAGAAAGCGGGAGAATGATCATCCTGGAGGGGCAGAACCTGTAAACTGTAAACAGGCCTTTGGCTCGAACACAGTAATCAGCTGGAGGTCCAAATGATTTCTTGCAAGAGTCAAGATGTGTACAGTAATCTAGCAAGTAATGAATGATTCTGAACAGACCAGTTTACATGATATGCCACACTGTTCTCCCAGAGACGGATGGACATGCTACACTGAGTGTGAAGGATGGCCATGAAACTGATCGTTGTAGAAAGGGGGAATACTGTTGAATCTTTCTATTTGCTTGCGAGAATTCAAGGCCAGTTTGTATGGGGGACACTAGATCGTGTTTGTGTTTGTATTGTTTTGTTTGGCATTCATGTTGCCGTATCAAGACACACATTTTGACTGTGCAAGTCTGTGGATCATCCAATATCAAAAACAAACAGCACCACTTGGACCTTGAAGGGCGCTCTCTTGGTGTGTCATCCATTTGCCTAACTCGCCATGCAGACTCTCAAGAAGGGCGCCACTGAGCTTGAACGGCAGGGAAAACGCGGCGCAGTCGCGCTGACTCTCTCTTTCTGAGTTCAACTTGGTCCTTGATCGGTTGGCAGCGTATCCGACCACCTGTCTGAATCAGGTGATCTGGCAGTTTTGTGTTGTTTGGGAGGCCTTTCCTCAACTCACCAGCCGGACCTCGCCGGACCCCGACCCTCGATGTGTGGGTCAGAACCTGCGAGAAGTCGCTATATCCAATGATCCCTGCCATGGCTGTGGGTCATGGCACCTGGAGCCCCGGAACGAAAACCCTGGTGGGGGCGGTTGACCTGCTTAGTAGTTGTGTTCTGTGAATTGTCCGTGGAAAAAAACAACACAAGGTCTTCATCTAGGTCCACATAATAATTTGCACAGGCGTAGCGGAGACCAAGCGAGAAATTCAGGGGCTTGCACAAGTGCTGTTCGAAGAGTTAGTGCTTCCTGCCAGTTGCAGTACTTGACCCTTTGTCGTCCGAAGCACAAGGAGCAAATCAAGCTAGAGAAGTCCCACGTGAATTCTGCCTCATGTCCTCATTGACAATTGATGGACAATTGCCCGGTCCTGCGTAACTACCCAGGCGGCAAGGGCTTATCCACCCGCAACCGCAAGTGTGACACAGTGGTATTTCCAAAGGTGCATAAAGGTGCATATGATAGCATATGGTGGTGCACCAACTGAGGCCTATCAACCGTCTACATAATGATTAGACATGTATGTTTTTTCAAGTCGAAGAGTCAATCTTCACATCCCCTGCTGCACCTGCCTTCCCCATTTAGCAGAACTGTCAGCCGCTACTGACGGCCCTTAGCCGAGGCGAGCTTCCTCTCCGAAGCCCGAGATCGGTTGACCCGGGGAAGGCCGATCGTGGTGCGCGGCCGTTTTCGGTGCACGGTTTCAACGGGAGTGTATTCATCCCAATATATAATTATGGTGATGTATATATTATTGATCATTGGATATGTAGTATAGGAGATGACACACTCATATCTCACTTACATGTGTATATATATATAGTAGAGTCCTGGATGTCGTAGATTTGATAGTAGATGACACCTTAACCATGACAAAAACACAGTGCGGCTCAATTGATAATTGCAGATTATCTTGGAGGTGGCTCAAATCCCAAGTCTCGTTTTAGCCGTCAGATTGCCTGGCAGGTACCCAAAGGAAATCAAAGGAAGTCAAGAGCTTTTATCCCTGAAGTCCTACAAACTCTTACAAATCCGATGTAATCCCAGCTCATCCAAGTCAAGTCTTCCACTTGAAGAAGAAATCCCATGTCGAACCCCATGCCCGTTTTGCCGGTGCCATGCGCGCAAGCCCGTACCTCAACGTCCCTGCTCCCGTCCTCGTCCCCTCAGCCCTCCAGGTCCTCGACCTCAGAGGCGCTCAGTGGCGTGACCTCCGGTGGGGAGTCCCGCTCGGCGGGGCAGAAGGCCTTCTACAACTGCTCTCCTCAGGAGGCGGCGCGGGCGCCGTGCTGGGCGCAGTCGGATGCAGTCGTTTGCGGTGAAAGGGAGGGAGTTGGGGGGCGCAGAAGAGCAGGGCAGGCGCAAGGCAGGTGGAAGTGAGATGGGCAAGAAGTATTTGGCTGAGGGATCGATGATGGTGGTGATGTTTCTTGCAAGTTCAGATATGAGATGTGGGACGGCTGATGTTTCAGCCTCGTCCTTCTTCTTCTTCTTCTTCTTTTAAAGACATCGAGTGGAATATGCCCGTTTGGGGACGTGGTCGTGCATTGCACACTGCCGACAGGCACACTGTCGGAAGCTCTTGGTACACCAAGAAGCTGTTGCAGGCAGGGTGCTGAAGCGAAGCGCCTTGTAGAGACAAGGTGAAACCGAATCCATGTTATCATTGTGACACATAATCCCTGCAGTGGTTTTGAGGGTTTGAGGCTTTGATGGACACCTCAAACTAGACAGCATTGGTTGGCGGGTTGCTGCGCTTTCTTAGTGTTTCACTTGTAAAGAGTCCGGGGCAAATCCTCTTTTTTGTGGAAAGCCTCATCCTGGGCTTTGCATTCTGCAAAGTTCAGGTGTTGGAATCAATGTTCACGATGGAGAGGGGTCACAACCAGAGTCACTTCTTTGAGAGTTGGGCCTCCTATAGCCTATAGCCGTCTGGCACCCAATAGGTAGCACATGGTGAACAGGATGAGTATATTCCCGTGACCACTAATAGTGACACCCTGAAGCGATCCATTTGTTGGACGACTTAAATTGATTTCTTCAATCCCACGACGACTATGCAGGTGTGGTGGACCGCTACATGTCGGCCATGCTCTTCGCGTTGGATGACATGGCCACAGCACATGAGAACTTGATGGCGGGACTACAACAGGCGGACGGTCTGGGTTTGGATGGCACTTCAGCTACCCGGGCCAATCGAATCACGTAGAAGAAGAAGAAGAAGAGGAGGAGGAAGAAGAAGAAGCAGAAGAAGAAGAATATGCTTTCCGCAGCAAAAAAGATCCACTTGCTTCCCCGATGCTCAGGCCGTTTTCCTCCTTCTTTGAGTATATACCTGCAGTTATTTAAGACATCCACTGCAACCTCCCCAGAGCCAGTGTTTTGCGACTTCGCCAGGCTGCTGACTTGGTGGATTTGCAATGGCTTCACTCTGTGGAAGCCTTGGCCTCCAACCTGCGCCAGGCGACAGAAATCATCTGGGGCCCGGCGGAACCGCCGAACCGGCGCAGAAAGGCGGCGTTGACGTGGTTCTGTTTTCGGGGGTGGGACCGGGACGTGACATGCAAAATTGTGCCAAAAAAAAACACACAATTAGCCATATATTATCATATATTAGTATATTCATTTATAATATATCTCCAAATATCAGGTGGTTTTCCCCTCTAGCCTTGACTGTGTCGTGTTGGTCCTCCAGGGTGCCGAGGAGAACCGGAACGCCATGTATGGCATTTTTCAAGAGCTGCAGTGACTCGGTGTGGGCTTCGGGAGCTGCAGGGGACATGCTGCAGGTGACGTACAGAGCATGTTGTTCCTTTCTACCCTCCATTCAACAATCATTGGAACTGAACAGAGGCCTCCTGGAATACTATTTGTTCTCTACAAACAGGCGGTTGTACATTTCCATGTTTTTGGGTTGGGCGGCAAACGAGTCCATCATCGGTTGCATGTCACTCTGACTTGTCGCCACTGAACTGAACCCAGCTGCAGGTTGGTGAGGGGAAAGCACAAGGAAGCGGTTCGACTTGCCTCTGAAGCTGAGGCTGGTTGTGATGTGGAGGAAGAAGCCTTTCACGAAGCAACATTGGTCTGGTTAAACAATCGACTTGTAAGGTTTAACAACCGAATCCTGACGGGTCAGGAAAAGGAGGGGTGGAATGAACCTTGCAGTAGCATGAATTACTGTAGTATAGCCTTTGACGAACACATATTTCTTTTTTATATGTAGGAAAGCAGGGACCAACTGTTTGCAATGTTATGGGCTGGTTAAATCCCGCATCACTGGAACATGAACGTCCAGGGTGCTACCGTTTGTTTTGAAAAAATATCTTAAAGCATCCCTAGGGTTGTTCCGCTTGTGCACACGTTTGTCAAAACAAGGACCTGTTCCAAGAGGGGCTTGTTGCAATTCCTTTACAGTAGCATAGTTGTAGTCATACCCTAGGGATCCACATACCTTCTCAGAAGGTACTTGGGCCCTCCAAGCCTACTTAAATAGTCTCCAATCACCTTCTGAGAAGGTACTTGGATCCCTATAGGGATAGTTGTTTCTCTAATTTGGTGATAGGATGGAACATGCTAACACGTGAGATATCGTGAAACATGTCTTAAATGAAGCTACCTACAGCATCTCATCCACTCCGTACACTGCTTGCGAACGGTATGGCTCCAAAGATGTTCAACCGAATGCCGCGTTTTCGGAGATGCTTTGGAATACTAAAGCGAGCCGAGTCCCGGGTCCCTATCTTATATATATGTGTCTCTACTCGCTCGTCCCTCTTCGGGTCTCACAAGCCAGACACGAGTTTGGGAGGATGCAGGCATATTCCACACATGGAGTGTTTGGGTATACGGTCTCTCGACCTCTCTTAGGAATTGTTGCATCCAATCGCCAATCGTCGTTCCAGGTGGCCGCCAATCGTCGTGCGCACTACGAGGTGTCACTCGGCTGCGAAATCGCAAGTACCCTGCAGGACGTTTTGTGACGATAGAACATCATGGAATGGATGGCCCTGTTGTTTCACATGAAAGTCACTTTGCTCTCATTGAAAAGAAGTGTTTCAGGGCTCAACAAGCACATTAAATCATACATTTTAAATTTAACATATATCATATAGGTTAATGTTTTGATACATTAGCTCGCGGCGGTTGATCTGGTTGAGTAACGCAGAGCTGACAGGACACAAACCTAGATGGCGCACCATGTAAGATGTGAGAAGAAACAGATAACACTCTAGATTTAGACTTTAGAAGGGGAGTAATTGCTTTGTTGGACACTCCGTATAAGGAGTAGGTAAAGGGTCAGGTGAATTGATTATAGTCTATCCTGCCCATTGCATCTACCATGTTCTTCCTCACTTTGCCTCCGCCCACGCTGAAGCGCATCGGCTCGCCGCCCCACGTGGTTCGCCGCCCCCAAGGAAGGTGGAACGCCTGCGCCAAGAGCTGCAGAAGATGCGTGAGCAGCTGGGCTCTGCAGCGCTGGCGCCCGAGCGCAGTGGCGGGAGTGGGCTCCTGTCCAAGAGCCTGACACTTGGAGTTGTTCTTTTGGAATGGAGGCTCTTCGAAAAGCTACTATAGCAACAAGGACGCTATTAGGTTGGAGGCCATGGCACTTAGGTGGAGGCCATCGCAATAAGGTTGGAGGCCATCGCTATTAGGTTGGAGGCCATCACTATTAGGTTGGAGGCCACTACTACTAGTAACAAGAAACTTGGGAGGCTTTTCTTTTTTCATTGTCCTGACACTTGGAGGCTAAAAAGGAATGGAGGCTTGTTTGGGTTTTGGAAGGTGCTGCAGTTACTTCCTGGAAGAGACCCACATGGAACTTCATGGAAACTAGTCTTCCAAATTTTCAGGTTCCAAGTTTTAATCTGCCTGGATGTAGGTAGGTTCTGCTGAAGGTCTTCAATGTGCTGGATTTTGTGAGAAGGCATGTTGTTTGTAGATGCCTCGAGTAATCTCGAGTACGGTATTGTTTTGTTGATGCGAATGGGTTCCTTTCCAGGCTCAAAAGAACACCGTCACCAGAGTGGAAGGATACCTTTTTGTCGCACGGTGCTGGGAGTTGAAAGCATGCTATGGCCGAAGGCCATGTGCTAGCTGGGAAGACATGCAGGCAGCTTTGAAAGGGTGTTTGGATTGGTTGAAATACATCATTGAGTGTGTGTATGTCCTAAGTCTTGAAAATGCGCTGGTGCGAAATTCAACCGAGGAACCAACGAAAGACGAACAACTACGACCTGAAACAAGGTCAGTTGTGCCGTTGCTTGGCATAAAAGGAACCGGGTTTTGCATTGTAATCTCTATAATTACGAGTTAATGGGATTTATAGTTGCGGATTGGCAAAAATGTTGACCAATTGGTGAATATGTTTGCCTTGAAGTCTCTCAATTATTGAAAAAGTCCCAGTTTTGGACACAGACCCTGATCCACGGAATCACTGAATCGTTCATGCAACATGCCAACCCCTACGTAGCTCCACGTGTATGGCAAACAAACACGACAGGCTTCCACGATTTCCTCCTAAGGCACTTGGGCTTGGCTTACTAAGCTCACTACGCTTCTCGGCGGTCAAACGCCCAGGCAACGAGGAGAAGCTCACGCGCATGACGGAGCTTCAGACCGAAGCTCACGCCTCGTCCTTGCGTTCGCTTCTGGTTTGCGTGACCTTCGGAAGGCCCGAAGGAGGACGAAGGAGGACGAAGGAGTGAAGCATAAGTGAAGCAGTGAAGCATAACCCTAGGGATGCAAGTGCCTTCTCAGAAGGTACTTGGACCCTCCAACCTACAGAACAGATCATAGCAGTGTCTCCAATCACCTTCTCAGAGGGTATGTGGATTCCTATGGGGATAAGTCGTGTCAGGGTGTCACTAGCTGTCGAATTTGAGGGTGGCATGCGAACTCTTTGGAACTGACCAGTCCGAGGTTTTCCAGATCGGATGTTCAACATGCGGTATTCAGGCATTCATACAACATGATTCGACTTGGGGTGTTGCGTTCATTTTCCGGCCCCTTGAATAAGGGAGGCGACGCAATCCAAGGTTGGGAATGGTGTTGATGTTTTGAGAGCAGTTCCTGACAAGACTTATGCGAGGGTGGCTAATCCAACTTTGCAGCAAGCGACCGAAACCATGAGAGGCTGCACCCTTTGACAACGCCGATTGACTGGGTGCACCTGTAAGTCCGGGTTTTCGGGTTGATTGCTGGTACGCCAAGAAAAAGCGGACTGGCATATAATCGGCCCTTGGGGTCGCATAGCGTGGATCCTGACTTATTTGCCCAAGCAGGGTCCCACTGCCTGTGACATTTGGCCACCTACGCTGTTTCCCCACCAACAACTTCCGCCGGAGGCAGAAGTTGCAAGTGTTGGTGGACCAAATCCTTCGAAGTTGCATCGCTGGGAATCCCAGTCGGATGTGAACCACTCTTTGTTGGGCTGGCCGATTTTATCGATCAGTTGGGTGGTTTCAGAGCTCAATGTAATGTATAGGGCCATCTATTCATGGATGGTTTGGATCTGGACTTGTGGAAGGAAGAGATCCCCCCGGCAACTGTTGTTTTGGTATATGTGTCCCTTCAGTCTTCCTACTAGCAACTGCCATGGAACTGCCCCGCAAAAGTGAGTTCGGTTGAGCGTTGGGTGTAGCTCACCTACGACCGTCGCCTCAGTGGCGGAAGGAACGGTCGACACACAGCCAGCCTCTCATAGACTCATGCTATCTCATAGACACATAGACAAGCCAGTCTATAGATCATGAGATCAGATCAAGCAGGATAAGCGCGAGGTCCGTCTAAAGGAAAAATGTTTTTGGACTCATAGAAATCAGGTTCCATATTGGCTGAGTTTAGCTTACAAAGCTCGGTCCATTCCGTGGGCACGCTGTGCACTGCCTATTGTGCATGTGCTCCAGGAGGATTTGATACCTTCCATCCACACCAAGCACACCGCTGCCATGCAGAAACAGCCACCTCCAGCTAAAAGTGCCACTGCGGCGTACCTTGGGCCATTGTTCGGGGGCTGCGGAATGTGCGGGAGGTTATTGTCGATATAGGTGAGAATTTGGTGACACCTTTGTTTTCACTTCCTGAAAGAGATCGCTGTTGCAGAACTGTCCAATCACCAACACATTTTGTGTTTAACGTGGGTTGGCAAGGATAAGGACACCTGGAGGGTGCGGAGCGCGTCCCAGGGTTGCGGGGGAAAATTGCATTCCAAAGGGGTGCTGAAGTGACGTCGGTAGGGGTGCCAGGGTGCGCCTGTCACATCCACTCATTGGATGGGTCAAAAACCCCGACGTGGAACTCTAGGACATAAGATCCACTTAATGGTAAGGCCAGGTGGTATTTGTTTGAACAGTGGTTGTGTCGATCTACCATCCCAGAACATTCGAAGAAGACTGAACAAGCACCAAGTTCTTTGAACATGGGGGTCTATTCCGACAAGCTCTGTGGTACGGCTTGAACACCTAGGCTTTCTGGCGAAGAGCAATTCCCAAATAGGTCCCCCCCCACGGTGGCGCTACCCCTTGAACGGCCAACGCAAAACAACAACACGTATATTTCTATGAAACTCAGGATTCATGAGGAATCCATAGGCCTGCTACGCCAGGTATGTGCGCGCGCAGCGCCCAGGTATGGTGGGGGTCCAGCTCGGCAGAAGAAACTGGAAGATGTGCCAGAGGGCACACTGAATGTGGGGGATATCGCCACTTGGGCATGATCTGGCGCAGGACATGTACTGAAAGGGTGTCTCAAAAAGAGAAAATTTAATATTCAGATAAATTCAGTCATTGCATCGCATTTCATTACTGCAAGAGGAATGCAATGCAATGCAATGAATTCAGTCATCCAAAATTCAAAAGCATGTGCTGGAACTCGGTGGGTGTGTATCAGGGTTTGGCTTGGCCATCTACCTGAGACTGTCCGAGACCCGCATGGAACCTGAAAACCACTGGTGAACGTGGAGAAAGCAAGCATGTTCTGGTTCCATGGCAGGTCTTTTTCCTGGTGTCGGACCCCTGATCTTGGTCTTTTGCTTGTTGCTGATCGTCGTGCGTGGCCGTTGTCCGAGTTCAAGTCCGGGTTCGGGTGGACATTCCACCATGATGGCTGCGTTGGTGACGGTTCTCCCAAGGATGAGTGACAAAAGGTCATGAAGAGGCTGTAGACCAGGAGACCCTCAAAGGTGTCAAGTGGTAAGCGCTTTCTATTCACCCCCCTTGGTCCCAATACCACGCAATTTCGGGGGTCTAGTATGGTATACCTATTAGTAGTCAGCTTCTCCACTCACTGGATTGGTTGCGGAGTCTCAGGCTTCTGAATTGTCTCCGGAGTCACGGATTCAGTACGGATGAGGAGTGGTGGATGGTTTGGAAACGCAAAAACTATTCACAACTCAATGAAATTGCTATCGCTTGCTGCAACTTCTCCCTAGCCTTGGGATAGAAAACATCCAACACCTAGGTCTGCGTCCAGGGCCTCTCCTCAGCGGCCCAGTACAATGGGGAGAACGGCGCTGTGCGGACCTTGAGGCACGGCACAAGGGTTGCGCCGTGGGGAGCGAATCGTCCGTGTTCCACGCCGCCGCCGGTGGAAAAGGATCTCCGAAAAGAGCCATGGAAGAACAGCCATACTGGGCGAGTGGTCCAGTGGTACCAACCCAAGGCTTTTTCCTAAGCCATCCATCCATCCATCTCCTTTTGAGTGTTTGTTTTTTCACCTGACTTGTGGCTGTTGCAGGAATAGCCCCTTATGCAAACAGCGACACAATATTGTTGGAGGTCGGGGCAGGGCGGTCTGTAAGGATTAATGATTGATTCTTGATTGTTAAATGTAGGTGTAGCAATCACCATTAGTTTCATCATCATCATCATCATCATCACCATCATGAACTCGTCAACCAAAGAGAAATCGGGCCATCTTCTACATAACTCACGGAGCTGAGGGGAAAGTATTTCTGTGCTGACGTTTAGGTGTTATTGTTGATGGGCATCAGCTTTGCGAATGCCTCATCTGTGGCTAACGCTGAAGCTGGTGAACGGTCTTGCCCATCAACCATATATCGTTAACAACCAGAAAGCTGTATGCTCACTCAAGGCTTTTGTGGATGGACCACGTGTTAAGCATTTATACACATTAATCCCGTTGTCTCCGCATTTGTGCGGTTGTGGGCCTGAATGAACAGTATCCAGACGCTCCATGGGCCATAGGCCTCCAACATGCCAACATGAACCATGTTTCACCCCTTTTCAACCACCCCACCTCGCAAGTGGTCAGCAGTCCCTTCGGTGGTGGTGTATGGGTGTATGGGATGTGTCAAGGGAGGATGTGTGTCCAAAAGGCTCTTGAAGGCACTGCAACAGCTCCAGAGGAACTGCTGAACATGAACCGCTCCACTTGGAAACTTCGAAAAAAAAATAAAACACACACAAAACAAACATAGGCACGCTCAGCTGTCCTTCTGATTTTTGTCGCTTCTGATCCCAGTCCTAAAAGGACAGCGGATTCCTGAGGCCGGATGGCCGCATCGAAGTGGAGCTGGTCCTCGAGGACCGTGCCACAGGCGCGGAGAATGGGCAGCGGGCAGTCCTGTGCCGTTCACCATGCGTGTGATACAGCCGGACAGTCTCAAGGGAACTGAGAGAGAGTTTTCCGGGGGAGGAAGCGAGAAGTGATGGATCCACGTGTAAACAGAGTTGGAAGGACATATGTGTGGGTGAAACTGGTGTATGAACATGTTTGTATACAATAGTTTGCATGCCTGAGACCACCAGTCACTGCGTGAACCAGAAAGGTGGAAACCTGGGGACGCCTTCGATCACAATTGAAGCTCGGTACTTGGTATGATTGTTTTGTTTCAGGCGAGTCCAACAAAATCCTGGCGGTGCGCCCTGAGAACCTACGTCGGCTTTGCCCTGCTGAGCTGCCCTCACAGTGCTCGGGCCTGCTTGGACAAGGCCGGGTATATAGTATAGATTACATAATAGTGTCTCGGGAATTGCTTGTGTAGCTCGTATATGTACTTGTGAAGCAAATATGTTGCTTGTGTAGCATATATTGCTTGTGTAGCTTGAATTGCTTGTGAATTCCTTGCAAGAGGAGTTGGTGGAACCTGATACACTCTTTGGTAGAATCCTACCATGTGAAGAACATCATTTTGCAGACTACTACGTATCAGCCCAAATCTTCGATATGAGTTACTTGTATCCACCTAGGTTTTAAGCACAACAGATAGCTGCTGCAAGTACGAACTGCGTGAGGTTTCAACCCCTGACCCTGAGTGAATCCAAAGAAACCAAAGACCAGTGATATATTGTGACAAAATTTGTGATAGACGTGGCTCCAATTGGCCCTAGGAAAGGGACACTGTAGCAGTCTTCCTATGTATTTCTCCAGTGCCGGATCATGACACATGACCTGGTAGAATTAGTTGACCCACAATAGTCAGGCAGTCCCTTGCTTTGACACAGGACCTGCGGTGTTGTTGGTCAGCTTGATTGACTGAGATCCGGATGAGACATTTTTGCGATATCTCAGCAAAGGATCTTTTTCTTCACCAGCCGGGTTTCCTTGCCATGAACTCCGAAGAAGATGCTTGATAATCTCACCCAGTATAGACCATCACTTGATTCTAATGTGTCACTTGGAAGGGGCTTTGACCACCAGACTCTATTTGACCATTAGGGACCATTTCAATGTCTCAATGTATGCTTGGCGCCGTCCACTCCGGGCTGCGCTCGCTGGGCTGCGCAGCTCGTGCCCAAGCTGTGAGGCGCTGAAGCCTTGGTCTTGGAAGACTGGGACCCCAAGCACGCCAAGCACCACGAAGACTCGGATGACACCACGGCCGACGGCACTACGGGCCGCAGGGCCTCCTGCTGAGGCGCCGGGCCTCCTGGCAGTGGTTGGTGGGTCCTGAGGCAGTTTGGAGTCAGACCTTCGTGGAAGATGAACTATCCCTCGACTAGGCAGCTAATGTGTCCAATTCGGGTGTGGATCATGGCGTATCAGAGTGGGAGGCAGGTTTTATTCGAAAGTTTCCCATAAAAATCATCCCAGCGACTCGTTGTATCACTGGGAAGCTGCTAGCTTCCTCCAAAGAATCTTTCTGAAGGGTATGTTTCTCTCCAACCTACAGCCCTAAGCTTCCAGCTCAGCGTTTTGCCTGTTTCGGCTTCAATATCAGCTCAGACCAACCTCCTTGTTGGGAGTCGACATGAGACAGAAACAGACAGAAACCATTTTTGGATAGACACTTTCAGCAGTTTGTGTGTCAGTTTGCGTGTCAACAGAGCAGTGCTGGTGGGCCAAATTCCGACAGAGCTATGCCCACGAGATTCCGGCGCTGTCGCCTTCACCGGCCCTGGATCTCTCAGATCGATTTGGCCAAGTCTGGTTGACGGAGGATGAGGCAAATGGGATCTAGAAGCTGATGAAGATGCTTCAGAAGACTTGGGAGTTGGGAATGGACTCCATTCCCAGCTCCAAGTCTTCCAGAGGAAGTAATCGAAGTGTTAGAGGTGTCGGCCAAAAGATTCACCTCGACTCGATTTGGAGTCGAGTTTCGACGTGGTTTTTGCCGCTCAGATCAGAAGATTGATTCATATGTTTCGTGACATCGCAGCTTGCCGTGGGAAGGGTTTTGGGTTAACCAAGGTAGGTCGCAGCCATCTCCCATCACCAAGTCCCCAACATTCGAAGGGAACATTCAGAGAACTGGGTCCGGATCCAAATGGGAAAGCTCTAGGACTCTAGGTAATTGAGAGATGAGAAAGGACTCTAGGACTCTAGGTAGTTCAGTGGTTTGATGTCCTGACAAAGTGGTTCTCACTAAGCCGCAGCCCCTGATGTTTCTTCGGGTGAGCTGCGGGCTGCCGCAGGGGCCGTCTGCGTGGTATTATAATGGATTTGGGTCGCTGGAGGGAGGAACTGCGGGTTTGGGTTGGACTCTCTGTGCTACTTTTCGTGGTTTAAACCGTGGGTGGATCGAATTCTGCTCTTCTCTGACTGCGTTTTGGGGAGATCAAAACGGAGCAGGCCTTGATTTGCAGGTTTCATCCAATGAAACCATTCCGCTAGAAGTCACCCTCATCCCACACTGGTACCAGCCACAAGACGCATATCTGGACCATCTCCGATGGATCGTTAGACGGGGTTCATTGGGGAAGCGGCTTGCAGCCTGACATGGCAGTTGTTTAGTTTTGTACTTCTTCCATTTACTGTACTGGCAGCTGCAGCTGAACGGTCAGCAAGATTAGGATGCCAATCACCAGAACTCATGTCATCTCAGCTTCCACATCCACGTCCAGAAGCCCCCTGGACTGCAATGTTTGAGGTAGAAGATGCCCAAACCTCAGAGCCAATTGTGAACATCGACAAGATGAGCTACAGAGACAAGATGATCTACAGACGCCGAGAAATGTTCAAGCACTACTACAGTAGAGCCAGCACGGGAGCCTTTGCCACATCCAGAGCTGCCAGAGGAGCAGCTACATCAGAATGAAGAAGAACTGAAATTGTTCAGTTCCTCTTCATTTTGATATAAAAACAATTTAACAATGTCCTCGATGGATTCCCAGGAATGGATCCGAGACTGGTGAAGTTATTAGAAGTCTTTGGCTCCAATTAGGGAGCCCCCAGATCCTTATCCAACCAAAAAGATTGGCCAAACGTAAGCATTCGCATCAAGCACTCAGATGGACAAATCAACCATAGAAACGCCATGGGCGTTGTTCAGCTATTGTTGCTGTCCGTTTGGATCAATGTGGGAACTGCATCCAACATGGACTGCTTCTCCCAGCATGTCCGGGCCTTTCCAGAGCTGCAGATAGCTACGAGAGAAAAGGCGGATCTGTGGCCGTGCTTTTGTGGAGTGTGGGACTTGGAGGCAGGTAGATAAAGACATCCTGGCCTTTTTTTTGGCCAGAATGGCTTGATTCATCTTCGAAATGACTACAGTGACTACAGCTCAAAAGACACCGCAGAGGTTATTTTCTTTGCATCTGATAGTCCTCGTTTTGTTCACTATCATTGGCATCCGTAAATGCAGTTATTTGCTCTGGGTGGAAGGGCAGTACGCCGCAAGAAAGAACCGCAGATCCCGGGCTTTAGCCGTCCCGAACATTTTTGGTTTGGCAAAAGAAGTGCGCAACCGCGGTGAGACGTTCCGTGCTCTTGGAGCTTCACTGGTGCTTTTGGAATAACAAGCCCATTGTTTGTCTTTTCTCGATGTCAACGAAGCCGGAAGACTTGTCAGGTCGAGTTTCACGATCTTGTGTTGCTGTGGGATTTTGCGTGCCAGGCGGGAGACATGGAAGATATGAACATCGTGCATATGAAACATGGGTAGCAAGGTTTAGCATCCACAAGACCTTTCGTTGGAACATATATAGGATTTTCCTGATGAGAAAAAGCTAAACTTAAACTGCTTGAAGCACCCGAGTGTTTCCTTGGACAACACTATTTATTCTCCAAGGTTCGTGGTTAGCTATTCTGGTGAGTTCAACAAGACAAGCCTTTTGGGATTTGAGACACAAGAGGGAGGTCTCTGAGGAGTGTAGCTTCAAAGTTCAAAGCAAACTTACCAACTACACAACAGCACTTCTTCCAATCCACCGGTGTTTTCTGGTGTTCAGTGGGTGGTACGTTCGTTTCCGCCAATGTCTCCGCAGTCCACCGTGACCGATCGCGCACCACCTGACCTGTTGCACCATGGATCCCGCATTGCACACCATGGTGATGGATCCTTAGCTCTTCACCAGGTGCTCTACATCCTTCGCGGCGCGGCGGAAACTGCTGCATGAGAAGCAAGCGAGCGCGAGCGAGCAAAAAGGATTGGTCTTTCTTTACCAGTCGAGTAGTCTCTTTTGTCTCCAGTGGATCGAGGCAGTGGGCATTTTTGTTTATACAGACATACGATATATGATATAAATGATATATTAATTGGATGGCGGTTTCAGGCTATTGACTTGATCCCACTGACCAATATGTTTGTGTTATTTACACCAATCAGATAATATATAATGTTTGGGAACACTTTGCTGGTGTATGTTTGTTCACCAGGCTTTCGTTGAGTCTATGAAATTTCCAGCCCGAGCACAAGGGATTGCAGGAGGATGCAGGAGGGGTAGATCGAGCGCAGGAGATCACGCCTGAGCTGAAAAAGGGATCGATGATGATCGATGGGTCGGTACGCATCCAAGAATTGAGATAACCTGCCTGAGGTTTGGACCGTCAAGCTCAGGCCAGATGTGGGAGGTTTCGACACTTCCGGAATTGACTTGAAGAAGGACTTCCGGGTGTTCGGCCACGATCAAAGACTTCAAAACGACGGGAGGACCTCAAACATTCCACCCAACTCTGGAAAACCTCCATCAACGATCAAACACCTAATGCAACCGTAACCTTTCATCGAATCTCATTGACTCATTGATGCCCCCAGTCTCCATGTCACAGCTGGCTTTTTCGGAGCGCGTTGCGTCAGGTTCAGATTCTGAATCGGCCCAAGGTGCGCTCGGTCGACGTCACGTCACCGTCGCGTGGACGTCGACGGCCCAGTTTGGGGCGTGGCGTCAAAACGCCCCTGCATATAATAAATATACCAACAGATCAGGCTTCAGTGTATAATAGGTCCACTGCATGAGTAGGACCTTGGATGCATCCGACGTGACTGCGTAAAGAGAGAAAAGACGTAATTTGATGTATTAATTTGTATAAGCTTTCTGACCAGTTCGGGATTGTTTGCGTCGGTCTTAGTGGAGCCTGGCGGCCGTGCTCACAAAGATGGACCCCCCCTCGTGGTCTTAGACCAACATCATCAACGTGAGGTTTTTTACAATATCTATATATCTATATATAGTTGGTCTTCAGGGTGATACTCATCGTGTCGTTTTTGGATACTTTTGCTGTGGGCCACTGTGGTAGACATGACTAAACATAGCCACTGTCTTAGTCTCAGATTTATATAATTACGGTAGAGCAATCTGTAGGTGATGCTCTATAAATACTGAGCCAGTTGACCATGATTGCACCACGTTTACGGACGTTTTGAAATACCTCCAGTATCCACTGAATTTACAGAGAGAGAGAGAGAGTAGTGCTGAAAACTACTGTGCGTAAGTCCTACTTGGTGCCCTTCTTCATTGCATCCAGTCAGAGTGCCTTGTCCAGAGTGCACCAGCAGAGTTGATGCCGTTGAAGGAAGAAAAACTCTGGCACTACCTGAGGTAGAGAACAAACCTGATTAATAACAAGCCGTCCCATGTTTTAGAGGTTCCCGGTTGCCAAATGGTGCCAGTGTCCCCTTTTGTTGCTTCCCATGAACAGCATCATACAATGAGACATTGTGCAAATACCTGGAGACGTTTTGATATGTTCAAAGGACTCAAGGCTTCAAGCAGTGGAGCGATGTCATCGTGGATACCTCAACAAAAACCTCATGAGTGTCATGTTTTGTCCGGGCTAGACCTGCAAATGTCGTTGAGTCCCCCCGGTTTTGTCCAATCTTCCCTGACAGGGATACGGAGATGCACCGAGGCTGGAGAATCGGAAGGTGAAGGGGTGGATGGATGCACAGGAAACACTGGACATTGGTAGAAGAATCGTCCAGGGGAAGAGCAAATTTGGATCCGGGAATGGCCAGCATTTGGTCGTATATATGGTGAAAACACGCAGATTTCTAGAACCGTTGCCACATCAGTTTCATTCCTGCACAACCAAACACAAATTCACTCAAGAAAGAAACAGGTGAAGGACACCACATTCACATACACCATCATAACCCATTCATATTCAGACTGGATCTTGAACCCGAGACATTCACCATCCACACCGTGCGCCGTGTCGCGAGGTCGGAGGTGTCGGAGGTGCCGGTGTCGCGGCCAGTGTCGCGGTGCGAGGGCCGAGTCACCTGCGACGAACGCTTCTGGTTTTGACTCAAAACAGATGAGCTGACTGTACAAAAGGGATCAAAAGGGCATGTCTCACCTTTGAAGGACATCTGGTTTTGCTCAGGTATACTCATTAACTCAAATCATTTTGTTTCCAGGTCCATGAAGTTCATGAAGTTCATGTTCATGCCTCTTTTGTACAGTGAGTTGGGTGCGAAGTCGACACCGTGGTAGCTGGGAGTTGAACGGATTTTGGACCACTGCAGATGTACGTGCAGCTTGGCTATTCTGCTTTTCTGAAAGCCACCCAGATTACCATCTCCCATTCTCCACAGTGGGTTTCGATGGTTTTCACCCCACCTATCCCCACCTATAAATTCCTATATGTAGGATATCTTATAAGCAGGCTTTGGGCATCGTGCGAAGAAGGTGGAACACTTTTGCCATGGATGTGGGCTCCGTGAACCCCAATCCCGGCTTTCTATAGAAGGCCGGTGACTATTGGTCACCTTCATAACATCAAAAAAATCATCTAAACCGTCTTTTAGTTGAAAATGCTGGCATTTTGTGCACCAACAAGCGCTTTGAAGAATTTGGGGCCAAGCCGAGTTAGTCTTGGTACTTCTTCGACCATCCGACGAAGGCACACGTGACGAGAACTCTCTGAGGCCATCGGAGGCTCCCATGCCCGAGCGCCGCAGTACCAGGCAAGGCACCGAGGGGCATGCTGCGCGTCCGTTTGTTTCTGTGGCACTTGTTGAAGTCATGTGACACTCCATGTATAGAAGATTCACTTACATTGAGGTAGTTGAAAAAGGATGCATGTAAGCATGTAGACATGTATTCCATACATGGATGGTCGATACGCCAGGAGCAGGGATATTCCATTTCTTGTCGGGTTCGGAAAGCCATGGATGTCCACGTCACGGACGGAGGAACGGGGGAGAACGGGGGCCTTTGAGGTCCAGTCCTGGACCCAGGAGAAGACCTCTCCAAGAAGTTGATTGAACAACTATATAAATTAATATATTCATGGAACAGTTCTATCAACCAAATGCTTCTATCAACCAATATTCTTGATTTTTCTTGTCCTTCCATTCCGCAGCTCAGGCATGAGACCACAAGCCGCTCTTCCCGAGAGAAGTCAGGACGAGCTCCGGAGCTTCGGGAGGCGAAGAAAACGCCGAAAGGTTCGAGGTAGATCCACTGATAAATGGTTTGGTTAGCTGGACCATTCCCTGGCGGATCCACTGCAACCCTCTGACAGAGATGTCATTTTTGACACCGTTTAAGGCGCCAGGGGGGTTCCAACACCTTCGGAGAAGGTATGTGGTTCCTTAAAGGGATTGAATGGGACATGATGGAATTCCAAAAGTAGTGTAAGTGTAGTTGATTGGTGCTCACAAACGTGGACCCCCCTCGTGGTTTCAGAGCAACATCATCAACATCAGGGTTTTACAATATAAATTGGTCTTCAGGGTGCGACCCCGAACAGATGCTTCTTCTCGGTTTGGGAAGCAAGTGTTTGAATGGTCTTGGGTGGGTGGAAACTCCCCATTTAGCCTTCGAGGTCCTTCCTTTTGACTCCGTGCGGCTGAGCAATGCCACCTATTCCAATCAGGAGGGGCGAAGAAGTCGGCGCCTGAGACATTTATGGATGTGCAGTGCAGAAGTATGTTGTTAGGCCGTTCCGATCACACAGACATCCTATATTCATCCCTTGTCCACCACTGCAATGTAGGCATATATGGTATATGGCATACATGGAGTGTTTAAGGTGATCAGTAGCCAGAACCCCATGCACCTGGTGGGCCGAGGGACGTCAAGGAGAAGCGCCCAACAGGGCAAGCCTTTACCAGGTGCCTTTCGGGTTGAAATGCAGAGTCCCAACCATCCATGCATACTGCATAGTCCCCCAATACATCCAGGCAAACCACTAGTTCGTAGATATAACCAGCGGATTCCAAAGAACTCAAACCGACCGACCGAGGGCCCCCTGGTTCCTTATAAAGTGGCTGCCTTGGATTTATTGGGTACAAGCATATATACCTGGACCCTCCAAGAGCTTTTTCTGTTTTGCCTCCCGGTGACAAACGGTGTTTGTACCATCCACCGGTTAGGGATTCGAACATTTTTGCGAGTTGGGGTGTTGGTGCATGATTGATTCTTCTGCCTGTCAGAGTAGAAATGAATTGTGTCCATCTTGTGAGTGTGAATTCTTCCTCGAATCACTTGGAGCCAATGACTCAACCAGGCCAGCGACCAAGCATTTCAGGGTCTTGTAGCAAAGGGAGGTCAGCAAGGCCAGGTTGCAATCCAAAGAGTCTTTGTTTTGTGCATTCTATACATAGGTGCACGCAAGGATCCGCCTTCCAGCGTGTTCCTTGAATGAACCGTTGAAGGTTTAATAATTATGCAGGGCGTTGGACAGGCGATTCACACTAACTATTATATAGATTGGTGTTTGAGTCCTTTGACAAGACTGATAAGGCACCGATGCAGGTGTCGCTTCATGGACGATGAGTGGAGAATCTGTGGCGATGAGGTGGAAAGCCCAGCTGCAACTTGAAGTTTTCAAAACAACAACGAGTGGTTCAAAGGACATGCAAGGTGTGTTTCTTAGACTGAGGTGGAAACAGCCTGCAAAAGCTACAAATCCGTTGCCCAAGTTTGGAATATTTATTGATAATGTTCACTGATATTCACCACAGTGTGGCGCATTATCGCACCTATGTTTACTGCCAGCAAAGCATTGGCCAAACTGGTTGATGCCAGCAATAGGCTATTTGCGCTGTCACTGTAGAAACCAGAACTTATGCAAGCTATTTTTCTTTGCTGCGCCAATTAATAGACAGAGTTGGTACCCACAGAGTTACCCACATGATTTTTGCATGTTGACATGTTTCTCTAATCAGAGACAGACCCTTGCTTCCATGTTCTTG